TTCTGTTGCTGTTCTCTGCAATTTTTCCAACTCAATAATGTCCTTTTTCAGGTAAGGTGATTAGAACTGTGCACAGTATATGAAGTGCAGGCACATCAAAGATTTGCATAAAGGGAGTATGATTTTGGCAGTTCTATTTTCTATTCTTTCCTTAATTATACCTAACATGGAGTTGGCCTCTTTCACAGCACCTGCACATCGGTTCAACATTTTCATCAGGCTCTCCATCACAACCCCAAAGTCGCTTTCTTGATCAGTCACTGCTAGCTCAAATCTCATCAGCCTATACTGATTTTTTTGCCCCAGTAGATGCATTTGCAATATATTTCCACTTGATTCTGTTTTTTGCAGGACCCTTTTGTGCCTCTGGTGTTAGCAGTGTGTTTGCTATCATGAAGACAGTACAGGATATTACCCCATATGGTTATAAACACTAACACTACAAGGTATGGATTGCCACAATAAAGCAGTTGAGGATAACGTGTGGGTAGTATGTTGGAAGCTGAAAGCTTGAAACCGTGGATGGACAATCTGAAGTTCTCAGCCTAATTTTGAAAGCCCTTTACAAGCAAACAGTTCATACCCCTAGCAAGAGTGTTTTGTTCTCCTGAATTCAGAGAAAAGAGGAGAGAGGGATGGGGTGCCAGGAGGAAAGAGAACAGATGTTGTCCTGCTTACTTTTTGCACCTGCCTCACCCACAACTGGATTAGGCTCAAAGGAATGCAGCCCTCTATGGAGAAGTTTTCATGCCTCTGCACTCAGTAAAGTGGCCAGGCTCACAAAGTGTGTGCTCCAGCTCTTTGCTAGGAATCCTTGGAGCTGCCTCCAAGCCCTGACCAAGCAAGATGAGATGGGATGCAAACTAGTTCTGCAGACCAGTCAAGGGTAAGAAACTGGCAGCTCCTCCGGGCTTCTGGGTGCACTTGAAAAATGCCAGGTAGGATGGCTCAGCTTCCTACTTTATTGAGGACAGTCCTATATTTGAAGGGCTGCAAGATGACAGCCTATTATTTCAAGGTGCCCTCAATTTGGGGGGTTGTCAAGTCCAAGTCGAGCTTAAAGAAAAAGAACCATAAGGAAGGAGAGACCTTGATGTTGTCCATCAACATTTTGCATCTGGATAACAGGAAGAGCACACCTAGAGTTCACCGTGGCACAGTCTTTACTCCAACAATGAGATGTATTATAGTATTATTAAAATAAGTCATCATTTCCAAATTTGCATTAATCCCTATAAATTAGCATATGCAAATCTTGCACAAATGTACACCATCTTTTACTTTTTTTGGTGTTGTGTTTTCCCTTTTTCTTTGTGATGCATATGTGGTCGTCCTGGTGTAGCAAGACATGAGAGTTTGAGAACATCACTTAATGACTGCATATAAATCCATGTTGCACACAGGGATCCCTGGATTGGGACCACATCAGCAAATGGTTGGTGTGTGTGCATGTGCATAAGAGAGACACCTTGTATCTAGCACTGAAATCTAACATGGGGGTGCTGGTAACACCTGCTCGAGAGGTGGAGTGTGGTTTATTCCAGAGGCTTGCTGGCAAAATTAACCATGAAGACTATTTTATCAGCAGGCAAGATTCTCACTAGGGATGTATGAGAATTTTGTTTTGGATCTTCTTAACTTCAGGTTTGATGTATTTGCAGCTGTAACAAAAACGGGATAGCTCTTTTCCGGAAAAACTCACAAGTTCTCTAAATTCAATTTGCATTTCAAAAGTATACCTCAAAACGTTATTTAAAAACCCGTTAGAAGTTCATTTTTTAGAAAATGTTTTTAGCCTTTGAGGGAAAGTGCAGCTTTTGAACACACATTTTAACAAAAGTGCACACTTTTCAGTTCAAAAATAAAAAAAAAAGTTTGGGAATGGGAATGAAATGAACCAAAGCCAAAGGAGAAAATAGGAGAATCTCAACTACCTCAAAGCTTTGTTGTTGTTAGTCATGAAGTCATGCCCGACCCATCGTGACCCCATGGACAACATTCCTCCAGGCTCTCCTGTCTTCCACTATCCCTTGGAGTCCCCCCAAGCTCATGCACATTGCCCCAGTGACTCCATCCAGCCACCTCATCCTCTGCCGTCCCCTTTTCCTTTTTCCGTCAATTGTTCCCAGCATCAGGGTCTTCTCCAGGGAGTCCTTCCTTCTCATTAGGTGGCCAAAGTATTGGAGTTTCATCTTCAGTATCTGGCCTTCTAAAGAGCAGTCAGGGTTGATCTCCTCTCGGACTGACTGGTTTGATCTCCTTGCAGTTCCAAGGGACTCGCAGGAGTCTCCTCCAGCACCACAATTCAAAGGCCTCAATTCTTCACAGATCCCCAATTCTCAAGGCCAGCAACACTCAGAACTTTTAACAGTGAAAGAAGATTTGGGGATCAGCACTCCATCATTAAAACACAGACTGAAATTTTGCTGCTTTTAAAATAGAAACTGTAAGTTAAGAAGCTGGTCGCTGAGTAATAATATCTGCAGAATTTCTCATACAAACTTCTAATTCATTACATTAAGGATCATTATATGCCATTAGTGAGCAAATCCCAGTGAAAACCTTTCAAAGACTAATCATGCTGTATGAATCCAGCCTCAATCTTTGCCATAAGCTGACATAAAACTGCTTTTTTGTGGGAGAAAGAACTGAAAAAGCAATTCATAAACACACTTCATAACCAATCTCTGCAATAACTCACCACCATCACAACTCTGTTTAAAAGGCACGAAGTCAGAATTCATCACCTATGATGAATAGAATTTCATTAGTCTCTGTGTGTGCATGTGTGAGAGTGAGTATTCATAAAAGGGTTGCACACAGTTCCACTTCCTGTCTTTGAATAACTTGCAATAGAAGATTCAAGGAAGCATCATTTTATTCATTTCTGAAATGGGTTTGGGGAGGACCCACAGCTCTTTAGCAGAAAATGTTTTGTGTACAGGTCAGGCTTCTCTAGTTGAACAGATCCAATATCTGGTGATGCGAAAGAGCTCCAGGACAGGTCAGAAAATGTTTCTCCAACGTTGCAGTCCATTCTCAGTCTAAAAAATCAAGAGAGGCTCTTTATACATAGGCAGGATGGAGAAATTCAGAGGACTTTATGGGTATGGAGCTATATATTTTAGTGATGGCACCCCGTGTGAGAACCCCAGACTCAGAAAAGTTTCCTGCCATCTCCTTTCTGGTCCTTTCATTGCCGGATGAAAACTTTAAAATTCTCCCATTTTAAGCAGGCATGGCTGGTCACGAGGGTAAGCAGGGCACAGAACCACTGTTGCTTCTTTATCTTTTGTCTCCCTCATTCTGTTTCATATTACCAGGAATTATGGTTGCCGACAGTCTGTGCTTGTTTTGCTTGGCAGGGCTGCACAGAAATTTTAAGCAATTGCGCATGCTTTCTGCATAGTCCAGCCAATCAAGTTCAACTTTGAAATGGATGGAACAGCACCACTATATTGCTGTTACCCTTACTATTTCGTTTTTTGTGGGGGATGTGGATTCTGATCCTAAAGGCTCTTATTTTTCTGGGCAATGGGAGATGTTCCTGAAAGCGAGAATGTAACTTTAAAGGAGTGATTCTGTCTGATTGTGTAAGACAGGCAGTGGAGTTTGTGTGATCGAGTTAAGTGCAAACTGATTGGCAGACATGTACTCCATACTTTTGTAATGGGTTGTTGTGGAGTTCCCGCAAAGGGGTTTCCACGTTGTGAGTCTGAGAACATTATGGAGACATGGAATGAAGTGAATTTTGAACGGATTTTTTTGGAACTTATTGGCCAGAATTGTTTCTGAGTCATATTGCCCTTTACTGAAATGCATAAATTATTGTACTGTGCTGTTTCTGCTACTTCCAAGTAGAGATGCTGGTATTTTGTGTCAGATTCAATAATTTTGTACATTATTTGCAAGTTAATCATTACCTGGCTTAGCTTTTCTTCTTCTCTTCAATGATAAGGTGCCTCTACCCTATATGTAGTATGAGGGTCCATTAATAAACATAAGAAAAACCATGCAGTGCTGTACTCTGATCACATGGCAACAAGCCAGCTGCCTACCAGATCGCTCAAGCAGGATGGGTACAAGAGTTCTACCTACTCAAGCTCCTCAGCACAGGCATGCTGCCTCTGATAATGGAAGCAGCACATAGAGTTTGGTTTCAGATTTTTAAAAGATCATCATGCTCAAAATTGTTCAGTGCACTGAATATCTACTGTTTTACTTTTCATTTCAATAGAGAAGGAATTATTTCTTAGGCAAGTATAATTGGCCTCAACTGAATATATAAAAGGGGATCAAGAAAGAGATGTATTAAGACTTGTTCCTCACAATATCCTTATTGTATGGAGTGAAACATACTGACTTGGGTTTAACCTTTTTAGCCAACTTCAGTCTGGTTTTCAGAGGATGATAGTGGCATTAAAGAGAGGGGCTGCATCTCAGTGGTGAAGCAAATACTTTTCACACAGAAGGTTATATTCCTGATATCTTTAGGTGGAGCTGGAAAAATTCCTGACCAAAACTTTGGAGATCCATTGCCAGTCTGTGTGCCCCTTTTGAATGGGTCCTACACCTTCTTTTCTGCATTGTGGCTCTGAGGGAATCATCAATCGATGATACTAAAGGATGCCCCCCATCCCCACTGTTTTGCAGTCCTTACTTTAAAATCACTTGATTATGGCCAAGTGTAGATGTGATGTTTGGTGGAGAAGCCTCACTGATCTACACAGGAGTGTGACTGCACCTGTACTGCCCAAGCACCTCAATGGTATTGGGAAACCAGGACTCAGAAAGTGCAGCTGCTGTATTCTTAAATAAGAATGGAGATGTCCTTTTTAACTACTTGTCACAGTGTTTGTTTTAAGGTAAGGATTTTTGTATTCCAGGTTTTTTGAAGGAAGAAACCAATTTTTAAAAAGTAATTAATAGTTGCTAAATCATGTCACTCACAAATTGCCTGTAAAAAAAGTGCATTACATAAGTTAAAAAACCCACAAAAATGAACAGACCATAACTTTATTGGAGATATATTCAGCTACAATTATTACAAAAAATCTATTAAAGGTAATTGTGATCCATAAGGTGCAGACTGCAATTTCTGCAGCATGATTACAGTATGAATGAATTACATTTTATGTCCCTTAGACAGCTGCAGCATGTGATGGGAAATATTTTATTGTCCATCAAATTATGTTATTCATTCTACTTGATTTTAACCATCTTTAAAGTCAAACTATTTACAATAAAAGCCTGCAATTTTCAACGCTTGTTCAACTTGTTTTTCTAGATAACTTGTTGCTGTAGTAAACTGAGTGCATCTATCATAGTAATTTAAACAGTCTGTGGTTTTTATCCAAATTAAAGATACAAAGTAGTGGGGAATCTAGAAAAGGATTATGGAGACAAAATTGATTGATGAATGCTGAGTACTCTTGAAAGAAGCTGCAATTAACTGTTCTGTATTCTAGACTGATCCCTAATAGAGATCTGTTATCAGACTTCTGCTGGTGAAAATTAGGTTTCAGTTAGATTTCATGGTTGTAAATGTTATGGATTTAAAGACAATTTTATAAATAAACACACCATTCCTTACTTGAAAATGAAAGTATTTGCTACCAAGAGCCTAAAAGTATCCTAGGTGCAATCCTGTTTTCATTAGTCACACACAACCAATTCCAGGACATTCATTGAGGAATGCGGGAGAACAGCATATGGCTCAAATATGGTCAAATAACTATCTTAAAATCTGAAAAAGCCTTGATTTGGGGGCTATCAGTTTATGCTACCTCCAGATGTGTTCTTACATTTTATAGGACTGTTCAGCCCTGAGCAGGGCCTATATTTAAACTGACAAGAGCTGTTGCTAAAAATTATGTCCTCAACACTCAACCGGATGATACCCACAGATCCCTTCATGTAAAAAATGTAGAAATTTAATTGACCATTATGTATGCATGTTCAGTAAATTTACAGCAGGGGAGGGGAGGGGAGGGGAGGGAAGGCATGCAGAGGTCAATCTGAAATTTAAACCGTTCCATAAAAAATGAAAATAAGGCATAATGAAGAAAAAAGAAAATGTGTGGGATCCAGAAAACCACTGAGCAGAGTTCTACTCGCAAAACAGAGTCCTCTCAAGTCGTGCTTCTCGCAGCCCCTTGCATCCGCTGAAAAGATGCTCCTGTGGATTGGGGGACCCTCTAGGAAGGTATGGGATGTGGTATGGGCAGCTGCAGCAGAGGGAAGACTTAGCTGGAAATTGAAGGACCCCACAAACTCATATTTGTGGAAGCACCTTCTGGTCATACAAGGGGCTCCCTGGATCCTGGCCAACAGTTTTAAAACAACAAACATATAGTAACATGCCACAGACAAAACAAATGGCCTTTTTTTAGTTGTGCAAGTTAATTGACACAATGCAGGCATTCTAACGATCTTTTTCAAATTCAGCAAATCAAAGCAGCAGCAAGGCCCAAACCACATTTTTCCTCTATTAAGCATATTTCTCCTTGAAATGAGGTAAAGCATGGTACCAAGTGCAATGCTTATTTGTGCTACATGAACAGAACAGCACAAAACAAAGCCATCATAAAAATAAAAATGCAGCATAGTTAGGAGGACTGTATAACAGTATACACACAAACAAAACTGAAACTAGGCTCATGCCAATTAACCCCTCTGCTGTCTACATGAGGAGTCCATGTTGTTTATTTTGAAGACAGGCTTGGAACAGTCCATTTCCTATCATGCTTGTAGCATATCAAGGGATTTCAATCCCAACCTTCAAATGATCAGATTTAGGTCTAAATAGCATACTTTTTCCAATACCCCAATTATATCAAAATGGGTAAAGCACTTGTAGAACATGAAAACTAATGTGGTTTTGCATCTTAACAGCTTAATGAAAAAACTGAATTAAATCATACAGCAAAAAGGTCGTGGCAATAAAACACACAAACAGCAGCAGGACCTACATTTACAATTGGCCCCTACTCAATATTTTCAGTTCATCAGCTTGATGCATCATAGAGGCATTGATACTTCTGATCAGGGAGCGTAATGATCAAAGTTTTCCACTGCAATTAGGCTACACTCTAACCTCTGAAATTATCCAAGTATTTGAAGTATTCACTGAATGTTTTTCAGAATTACAAGATTGGTTTAGATTTTATATATGGCATTTCAACCACCACAAACCTTAGATATTTCATTGGGATCATACATCTCCTTTGTGAGGTTTTAAAGACTGAACTATGCATCACCAGAGAAAACTATCAACATTAGTAACAATTATTTGCTAGAATTACAAAATTCTTACTCTGGTCTACAATTGTGGATTTAATGGTGTTTGTTCATAAACTACTTTTATATCCATATTCTTGCATGAAGATGGAAGGATGGCAACCCTCAGTCCACTTACCACTGAGAAGTTCTACTGAACCCTGGGCAAAGTTTACTTTAAAAGCAACTCAAGTATCAGTGGCTTGAGGACCGTAATCTTTCTTAAGCATTCTAACAAGTGTCTGCAATCCAAAGCTATATGCATGTTGTGGGGAGTATTATGCAAGTAGCAAGAGTCTTCTTAGAAGTCTGAATGGCTGCTGCTCACCCTGAAGCTGAAGAGAATGGCCATTTTTAAAGCTGAAAAAATGGTTTGCCTCTTAATCAGTGTGAGTGGGCTGTAATGGAAACAAAGAAACTTCAAGCTACATGTTCAATTCAAACTTGCAAAAGGAATCATGTCCTTTATGCCTTCCATATTTTACTTTCTCACTGTAACAGAAGTCTCACTCCAATATTTCACTTTACTGTCCTTATTAGAAATTTAACAAAGAAATCTGTTACTCAAAATACACTTCTGTAGTTCAGAAAATTTTAATGTCTCCTGCCAGTGAGGTATGTTTCTTCTCTTTCAGAAAGGTAAGCCAGATGTTTTTCCCCTTTAAATTTTTGAATGCATGTGTATGTGTGGGGAAAGGGGTCTTTAAAAGCAGAGAACAGTATTATCTGTAATTTAACACATAAAACAGCATCAAGAGCAGACCACTGTGCTGGAACACATTAAAAAACCTTGCTCAGCTCTCTCAAACTTCAAGCATAATTAACAGGGTAAAATTGCAGCAAACCTCTACTGATATTGGTGGGAGTGCAAGATGACCCACAGCTTTTTAAAAAGGTAAATTAAGAGGTATTATAGTTACAGTGCAAAAATTAAAATTTCAAGCATAATACATACACATAGCACCAAAACAAAACAGAACAAACAAAAATAATGCATGCAAAAAGGAAAAAAAAGACATGAAAGAACAAAGAAGAACTGAGGTATTTAAGTGAAGGGTGCCTACAAATACCTAAAGAAATTTAGGCATAGCCTAAAATGTATGCTTTCATATCAACCGAAACAGCAACAATGAGCTAGTTAATCTATGTTAAAGGACCTAAATCACAGATGTATCAAAAGTATGGCAGTTTCTCTCACACAACAACTTCCATGGCATTTTAACAGCACAGCTTTGGTAGGTGAAATATGCATGCAATTCTGAAAAGTACAGTAAGAAATTTATGTGGAAATTGCTCTTAAAGGTGTAAAGGTGCTCTATTTGTTAAATATGTATCCAATATAAAATCTGCAGCATATTTTAGGTGCGATATGTCAAAGGTTCTTTTTCTTAAGCAACAGTTTGCACTGTGCAATTAGTTATTATTACAAAGTTCCAATACTGGAAACTGAGTCTCCACTCCACCAAGATAATCTCCCGCACAAGCCCCTTGAGGTGAAAGAGGGTTCTACAGGAGTGATGGATTGTGCTCAGTCTAAACTCTTGTTTTTTGTAATATTGGAAATAAGCAATAAAATTTGTTTTCAATATTAAATAAACTCTGTACTAACCATTTCCTCTGAATTGTTAAAAATAACCTCATTACATATATATGAATACAATTGCTATTACAGTTGTGTAATAAGTTAAGTCACAGCTAAACTAACATGTACTGTAAATATGGAGCTTTACCGCTGAAAAATGCATTTTAAAAGTGAAGGGAATGTAATACAGTTTGCTCCAAAGATACCAGAAACAAAAAATGGTGTTAGTGAGGGCTTATGTACTTTTAAGGCAAGAACCTTTTAATGCAATGTGGCATCAATTTAAAATTCTATCAGATGCCAAACATTTCAATTAAAAACCTGTCCCAAACTAATAAGTGCAATAATGACTGGGAATGCCATCTTAATGCAAAGAAGGCATGGAAAGAACGAGGACAATACTGGCACGCTTATCCTTACACCAAATCATCCAGTACAGTTTATGAACTGCTTTATGACTGGCACTAGTGCACAGATTTGAGAAATCTCAAGATGTTTGTGTGTGTGTAAATCCTAGTAACTGTAATAGGCATAAGCTCCCTGGCCTTTAAACACTAAGCAAAGCTGTACTGACAAAGTAAACCAAAAAATACCTGACAACAATTATTTTCAACACTTGCTAAATGTTTTCATTAAAGCACTCTTGTGATTAAACAAAGCAGAAGTGAGGAAAGAAGACAAGATTGTGTTTGCGCATAAAAAACAAACAAAAACAAAAAACAAAAACAAAAAACCAACCCCCCCATAACTACAATTAGTTCCAAAATTATGTATACATGTTAAATGTTGTTAGCTATTTTGTTACCAAACTTTAAATGATGACTTCAATTTGTTCCTCTCAACAACATCTTTTACATTGCTCTTTACTGTATGTTTGTTTTTTAAGAGGTGTCTCAGCTATTTGGAACCTGAGGTTGATTTGCTTTGAGGCTTCGTAGAGCTCTTCTTGCTGCTGCAGATTTGGCGATCCGATAGCTTCTTCCAACACCTTTGAACTTTCCTTTCCCTACAACTTCCACAGTTACTCTGACCTTTCCATCATAGGTTCTTTCTGCTGGACTGTATGAGTGACAAGAAGAAACAGGAAAAATATACACATATTATAGCCAAGACAGTCAAAGCACAATCAATTCCAGAACAACTATGGTAATTTACAGCAGTGAATTGTATCATAAACCTTAAGGATTAATGTAATGCAACGGGAGGTTTTGTAGAGGAAACAATACACTTCACTGCATGAATGAAGTGGACAGTGCAGGTGTACATATAAACCAAGGGCGAGCAGTTTGTGGCCCTCCATATGAAGTTAAACTGTAACTCCCATCATCCTTCATTATTGGCTAAAGCTGAAGACAAGAGTTAGTCTGGAGTGCCACATGTTTTCCATTGCTGATATAAACAAACATTGGATTGATGGGGAACAGAGGGTGGAATTGGTCTTAATAGCCTTCGCAACAGAAACAAAATTTTGTGCTTAGATTTTTCTCTCTACTGTTCCTTAAATTTGAGATTTTTCTCCCACAGAAGAGCATGGTGTCCAGGTTATTATATGTATATCATAAATCTACTATATGGTACATGATTTCAAGAGTAGGGGAGGGGCTGTTGTTTATTAGTAAGAGCACAAGCTGTGCATGCAGAAGGTTCAGCCTCTGGAAACTTCATACAAGGCTCAAAAAGAATTGCGTCTGAAACGCTGGAAAACTGCTGCAAAAGTGTACTGGGTTAGATCAACCAATACTGGGTTAGATCAACCAATACTGGGTTAGATCAACCAATGGTCTGAATCGATATACACATGTTCTAATGATTATTTTATAGAAATAGGCAACTGGTTCATTCTTACCTGAATTTTGCTGTTTCTGGCTCCATCTCCAGCAGCTCTCTTACTGGGGAACGGGGCACATTTGCAGAAAATTTTTCTGTGTTTAAAAAATGGCATTTGTAATTTCTTCTAACACCAAAGAAAGAGTTACTGAACTTTATTCAAAGAACTCCTACATTACCTATTAATGGCCTCATCATTGGATAGTACACTTGCCAAACCATTTCCAAAGACATTCCACTATCCATGTAAATGGCACCAGCAAGAGATTCAAATATATCCCCCATCGCCTTTGGTACTTCTATGTCCTCTTCTTTTTCTTCATCTTCTTCAGATCTTCGGAGCTAAAACAAGCACCAAAAAAAAAAGCTGCATTATGTAATTGTTGAAAGTTTCAATTAAATGTACAACTACTAACTTAGGTTATTTCGTTGTCACTGCAGACAAACTTTAAGATGCTCGTTTTTGGTTATTTGAAGGATGGAGAACCAAGAACAACTTAAATAAAGTCTGAAATTAGGTAGGTTGTTAGCTTTAAGCAAACCTCAATCAAACTACAGGAATCTGTTTAAACAGATGGACCGTTTTTACAACGTATAGTGGTACCTCGGCTCACGAACACCTCAGTTCATGACCAAATCAGGTCGCAAACAAAAATGTCATTAAAAATTTGACTCAGGTCATGAACTCCACATTGAGTGGTGACTGCAATCGCAGCCATCACCCCACCGCCCCGAGTGGGGAGATAGCCGAGATCACGCCCGTCCTTCCTGCACGAGTGCGCCCATGATGGCACCCGTCTTTTCTGCAGGAGCACAACCGCGATCTCGGCCATCTCTGCTCCCAGCACGATCGTGTCTGTCTCCCCCCACAAGCGCACCCGCATTCACACACGTCTCTCCCCCCCAGCATGCCCGTGATCACACCCACCTCCTCCAAGCGCGCCGGGATGACGGGTGCGATCGCGGTTGTGCTGGGAGGATGGGGGGAGGGGTGTGCTCATGCTCGGGGTGGTGGGGAGATGGCCGCGACCTTTGTTGTTCTTTGTCACTTTGCTTCACATTTTTCTGATTAAAAACATAGTTACAGAACGGATTAACCTTATTTACATTGAACCTTATGGGGAAATTTAATTTGGCTTATGACCAATTTGGGTCACAACCAGAGACCTGGAATGGATTAAGTTTGTGAGCCAAGGTACCACTGTACAATAGCCACACCCCTGTCAGTCATTCGGAATATTTCTTGCTAACTTCTGTTGAATTTTCTTAATTCATCAGATTTTTGAAAAAAAGTGTTGCCAGATTAAATTTAATTCAACACACATGTACACCCCCACTACTGTCCAGTTGTGTCACTAACCTCAGAATCCATCCCTTGCATTTCATTTTTTTCCATCTGAAACTGTACAAAATCATCGATAACATGAAACAGCTCAGGAGAGACAGCTTTGAAGTACTTGTGGTAGTCATACTTTACAGCCAATGAAGCAAAGATGGTGTTATTAACAAGAGCAGATCGCAGGTCTGTTAGGACTCCTGGAGAGTGCTGCCGTGGGTCTTCGTAAAGGTGCTTGGTTATGAGGTAGTCCAAAATTGCATCTCCCAGGAATTCCAACCGCTGGTAACAATCTGAACACACAGGTGTTGAAGGATGGGCAGAAAATATGCAGCAATACAATTAATATTCCTGCCAGATAATCTGCATTCTTTATTTATGCAAGCTTAATTTAAAAAGTGGTTTTTACATAACTTACCAGTAATGGTGTTGTAATGATAGGAGGCATGAGTAAATGCCTGAAGTAGATAAGCCTTGTTTTTAAAACTATAATTAATTTTCTTTTCAAAGTTTTCAAAGCCAGATATAAGGTGATTTAAGGTTCTCTCAGCATCTGGGTGATCAAACATGCATCTTGGCGGAATCTTCAAACAGCCATATACCAAGTCTTTATACAGAGAAGACTCTTTGCTGATTAGAGAGGCTGAAATACAGTTTGCTGAGGGGAGTTTTTGTTGGCTATTTAAGTGGTCTCTGTAGGAATACAGAGCACTGTCCCAGTCATGTTCTTCAATAACTGGAAGCACTTTCAGCCCCAGTGAACAGAGGAAAAGCTGTGCCGCTCTCTCACCACAGCTGGTCAGATAGCAGCCAAGAAGGGCTTCCACACAGTCTGCAATACTTTTGTCAGCAATGCACTGTTCTGTATGCAAATCATAGGAGATGGACTGCTTTCCAGCATCAATGCCACAATTTTCCTCTGATGGATTCCAGAAACCCACTACAAAGTCATCTTCTTCAACAGCCTTACTAGGATCTAGATAGCACATTGCATCCCATGAGCTGTAGTCAAAATCATCAAAATCTGAAGAAAACTGGACATTAGTCAAGGATGATTTTTTGGGCACCTTCCATTCATAATTGTTATCAGCAGGTGGAAATGGGGAAAGGGAGATTTTCTTCACAAACGCTCCAGAGCCCATTAACATGTTGTCAATAAACTTGATATGCTCCTGATCATACTCCAAAAAGTCATCCTCAAAGTCAGCTTCTTCCTTGGGTACTTGCCACATTAAGTCATCGTCGTCATCATCATCATAATCGTCATCGAGTTTTCCATTAGACATCAAACCCTCTTTTGTCTGAAAGTTGAAACATAAAATAAAACATGAAGTTGCAAAATTCTTAAGTAGCTTCAGAATTGCAAAAGAAAATAGTAGTGCCTTTTATTACATTTGATTCAACTCCTATTGCATTTATATACCACCCCAATAGCCCAGAGGGCTCTCTGGGTGGCTTACAAACATTAAAACCCCAGTGTCCAATCCTAAACGAATAAATAAATTGGCTACACCACGACTGAGATTATGATGCATGCTATCAAAGAACTAATGGTGTTTAGCCCACCTAGTCAGGATGCTAGGTGCTGGGATGCACTCTTCTCCAGTGATTCTGGCCCCTTCTGGAAGGAAGGTGTTAAGAGGACTAGTGTTCCACTTCAAAGCCTTTTGGAACATTGCTAGATTCCATCTGGACCCCATAATTTTATTTAAGATCTAAGTGAAACCACTGGGTGAGGCTATCTCAAAATGTCAAAGTGACAGGTCATCAATATACTGATGACATCTAGGTCTCACTCTAATTTCCATTGTCCAATATTGGAGAGGCAGCAAAAGTTCTAAACTAGTGGTTGGGAGCCATTCTGGACTGGATGAGAGTAAATAAACCAAAGCTTATTCCAGACAAGACAGAGATTATTGCCTGACCAGGGATCTGATGATCCAAGGAGAAATATGCATCCTGTTTTGCAGTTCCCTGAAAGCAATTTAAGTTTATAAGAGCCCTGCTGAATAAGAATAGTGACCTATCTAATCCAGCTTCACTTCCCCCACTGGTCAATCAGATGCTTATGGAAAAAGCACAAGCAGGGCATGAGTGCAACAGCATTTTCCCACTCATAGTATTCAGAGCAATTCTGCCACTGATACTTAAGACAATTAATACACATCATGCCTAGTAGTTATTACTAATTTTATTCTCCTTGAATCTATCCATGCCCTTTCAAAGCCACCTCGTTGGCAGCCATTGCTACATCTTAAAAGAGCAAATTGCATAGATTAACTGTAACTGTGTGAAAAAGTACTTTCTTTTGTCTGTCTTGAATCTCCCACTTCTCAACTTTAGTAGATGTCTCTGGGTTCTTGTATTAGGTGAAAGGATTTTCTCCCTGTCTACTCTCTTCACACTACCCAGAGTCGCCCCGAGGCTTCGGCGAATGGGGCGGCATAAAAATGTTTTAATAAATAAATAAAAATAAATAAATACCCTCAGAAGAATATAAAGCAAAAACAAAGCAGTCTAAAGTTATTTTGGAGTTGTATGATTTATTATGAAACAGGAGCAGCAGAACAAGGTCCTCTGTACATTAAAATAATATATCCACCATGCTATCAGTCAGAGAACAATTCTGCAAACAATTATTTAAAATAGCAACACCAATATACCAATGACATACCAATATTTAGCAACAAATAAGATCTTTCAGTGAGAAAAACAGAAATCTCTGTTATCTTGGACTACTGTAATTAAATTGTGCTTAAGCAGAAAAAAAATGTAATTTTTTCATCTTAGTAAATACAGCTTGTGAGAAACCCATTTTCTCAGCATGAATGAAACCAGTTTAAATGATTGTTAAATTATATCTACATACAGATGTAAGAGCTCTAGACCAAATATTTTAAGTAGAGTTGACATTCATGTAAACAATTACTTGTGTAGCACTGAAACACTGGACTGGGAACTTGATAACTTGGTAAATGCCAGAGATTTAAATGAAGGTTTTGGTTTTCAAATACAAGTTATATTTGGGGGAAATTAGAACTAATTAGGAAAAATAGTCTTAATTGATAACTTTTCTGAAGCTGTTCAGCCAATATCTTTTTCAGTTATGATTTAGGACAAGAACAATCCCTATTCAAAGCTACAAACTAAATTAAGCTAATACAAAAATGCTTGCAAATAGAAACTAGCCTGCAAACTATTTCCCTGACATTGTTCATTCTTGTTCTCAGAGTGAGGAAAGGAAAAACATTATATATTTGAGACGTACAAAATACTTTTCGATAAACTCCATCACAGCTCTTGACCACATTTAGCATTCCCACATAAAAGGACATTTCCTGTTATGGGTAAGTAACTGGTTGAAGAACAAAAGATAGTTCTCACAGTAAACAGATCTGTGTCAGGACCAGTGCTATTTAGCTTGTTTATAAAAGATTGGGAGTCATTGATGAAAAGTGAGATGATCAAGGCTGTGGATGTCATTGAATTGTTCAAGATGAGAAAAGTCAAGAGTTCCAAAGGATCTCTGAAATGAGCAAAATGGCAAATGAAAAACAAATAAGGTTCAAAGTAAGTGGATATAATAAAATCAAACTTCATATATACTCTGAAGGGACTTGAACTGGTTGTGACTATGACAAGGTTATCAAGGATCATGGTGGGATAGCACAACAATGGTATTAATGTATCAACAGTGACAGCAAAAGTCCATGTTTGAGTTCTTTACAAAAGTGACTGAAAGGACTGTTAGTATTGTCATCTCTTTATGACCTAGACGCATTAGGAAGATTGTATACAGTTCTGGTTGCCTTATCTCGAAAAGAACTGAGGTGGAGCCAGAGAATATTAAGATCTCTTGTCAGATGGTCCTTGTTTTTTCTGGATAGTGGTGGGTACTTAAGCCCATTCTTGGAAGCCTCCTAACACCACACTGAGAAAGGCACAGCCAAAATTAAACAAGTGTCTTGCCCATAAGGAAAGGCCAACATGTTTAAGGCCTTTTAGTTTAGTTTTTTTTAAAGATGACAAAACAAGGGAGGAAGACAGAGGAGTATAAAACTATGAGTGATCTGAAAAAATGGGTAAAGATTTTTTTCCTATTTGTAACGAGATAACTGGGATAACCTTCATTAAATTAATTGCTACAGAATTCAGGAATGGAATGAAATCTTGATTTAGAAACATAGCTACAGAGCGAGTCAGAAGGGGCCTCCCAGGCCATCTAGTCTAACCCCTGGCTCCAGTCAGCCTCACTCATGACATGCCTACCATGCGCATGTCCAGCCTATCCTTGAACACCTTCTCTGATGGGACTTCAGCCACCTCCTGTGGAAGCCCATTTGCACAATACCTGTTTATATGAATATATTGACAAAAGATGTGATGAAAAACTTGCTCATAACTGAAATAACTACAATCAATACATATGAAATCAATACATAGTTCTAATTTATTTTTAAATAATTATATTCTATATATTGTTCCCAGAACTGGGGTGTGTTTGCAAGACCCATTATTCCGTTTTTTGAAATGCATATTCTTCAATGTGATCTTAGGAACAATTTCTACAATACTTAGGGACTGCAGATGGCACAGTGAGTTAAAACCGCTGAGCTGCTGGGCTGGTTGATCGAAAGGTCAATAGTTCAAATCTGCAGGACAGGGTGAGCTCTCATGCTTAGTCCCAGCTCCTGCCAACCTTGCAGTTCGAAAGCATACAAATGCAAGTAGATAAAAAGGTACCACTTCGGTGGGAAGGTAACAGCGTTCCGTGCACCATGGTGTTTAGTCATGCCGGCCACATGACCATGGAAACTGCCTGCGGACAAACACTGGCTCCCTCGGCTAGGAAACGGAGCTGAGCACCGCTCCCAAGAGTAAGACAAGGCTGGACTTTAATGTCATGGGGAAACCTTTACCTTTATACAATACCTGGAATATTTTATTCTGCAATCAACAGTACAAATAGCACCAGTTTTTGGTATGCCCTCTGGTGACTTTGTAATCAAAGCATGAATATAAGAAAAAAGATGAGTTCAGAGAAAATATTCTTCATTTGTTCTAAAAACGATTCTGACTTTTTCTGGAGGAATATCACTTACAAAGGAAAAGATCACCCTGGAATTTTTGACTGAATTGCTGTATGCAAATATTGAGAAATAATAGTTAACTGATTTATTTTATTAGTTAAAGAGATCTTCAGATAGAAATGAAATTAGATATGTAAATATATTGTTACCTTGTTTTATACTGTTCACTAAGAAAGAGGTCTAATGAATTTCTTTAGTAACAGGCAACCAACCTACCTTCCTTCCTTCCTTCCTTCCTTCCTTCCTTCCTTCCTTCCTTCCTTCCTTTATTTTGGCCAAAATAAATAAGGGAGCTATCAGTGGCTACTAGTCATGATGGCGATATGCTACTTCCAATACTGAAAAGAGTATACCTCTACATACCAATTACTTGGTAACATAAATGAGAAGTTGCTATTACATTCACATCCTACTTGTGAGTTTCCCATGGGCACTTGGGTTAGCCACTGTGTGAAATGAACACTGGAGCAGATAAAGCTTTGGCTGCCTTCAGCAAGGCCCTTCTTGTGTTATTAATAATGTAGAACTGAATCCAATGCCAGCTGTACCAATGTTTTTGAACTGCCGAGTAGGGACTTCAGAACCCTACGTTTCACTATGCAGCAACAACTCAGACAAAGTAGGCCAAATATCAAAGTTATGATTTTAGAGCTTAATAATAATACCAGGACATAACAAACTGTAAGAAATAACAAGGCTGAAACAAAGGTTCAGTAAGAGTATCCAAGTGGTAGTACAAGTAGAACATACACTACAGTAAACCTAAAATAGCAGTCTCCTGCTTATATTTTTGCTTTGATCATGTAACTGTGGTGAGATAGTCTAGAACTGGAAAAAAAGCTGCAATAGTGCAAAACCCAGTGCAGATATAAGTAGGTTTGGGAAATGTCCCTTGTGGGTGAGGCACTGCATAGCATAAGTCACTCAGGAACCAGCTAAAGAAATATATAAATGTTAATATATACATGAAAAAAGAAATACAATTTAATTTTTCCTTTCATCTGCTTTTGAATGGGGAAGGGATTACCAAGTCTGGTAAGTAACCTGTAAAATTTAGTATAACATCACACAGATATTTGTATGCATGTGTATTTTTGTCTGAAGGTAGGAAATTTTAACTTCTGAACTGCAAAGGAAGGAGCATGCAAGCCCAAGGCTCATGACTTCTAGCCAACATTTGGTGCTACATCTGAATCACCTCTTATTCAGCATCACAAGAGTACGGGGTGACAAGAGGTCTTTGAAGTCAGTAGGGAATCCACTGCATGACATTCACTAAAATGCTAAAAACTTCACATTCCTAATCACTGGGGAAAGGCAGTATATAAATAAATATAATAGAAACAATTAAAATGCCTTTAACTCTGACACTGTTGCTCTCCTCATCACCCAAAGCTCCAACTTAGGTATTAGCACTAACTTGATCTCCAAGTTAGCTGCTAGCACTAAGGTGAAAAGGGCATCCTCTGTTATGCAGAGGAGACACCTAATTTGTTTTTATGAGTATTCATATATTTATTGATATGATAAAGGAGAATGTTCTTGAAGAAAAATGTGCGCTTTCACAATAGTAAGCCAAAGAAAATAAATAGTATATTTTCACTGTATTTTTTTGCTTTTCTATTTTATAATTGAACCATTTTCCACAAATTGCCTTCATGAGTCTTCCAATATCACCTTCCTCCCTATTTTTATTAATTATAGAGATGTTTTAAGAGGAGTTTACAGAGATGTAGTAGGCGATATTTTGCTGAAGTATGATAAGAAGCAGAGGCCCCATTTTCCTGTTTCACTTGTAACAATATACTCATACATTGAGACATTTAACGTTAAATGTATTTCAACAAAGCCTTACCATTTCATCTTTTTCCCATTTGTCTGCATTACTCTTGTCTTGGTTTACTATGTAACCAGGAGGAAGCCAGTTGACAGGTGGATCAAAAATAGATACCACCATACGACTAGGAAGCCCTTTCTTTTTTCCAAGACGATACAAGTTACAATTGCTGACCTTCAAGAAAAAGTGTTTATCATAATTTATAGGTAATAGTCAAAAATTCTTAGAACACAAAAACAAGCGTAGGCTATAAACAAAAGGGATTAGTCAGAGTATGTAGCCAAGTTTGTCCCCATTATTTCAAAATGATAGCTTTTGAAAAAAACACAGTCACACTTTTATATCCCACAATATCTCTTCATTCATCGGGGGTATTTCTGAAGAAAGTCCAAGGAGTACACATCAAACAAAACTACACTGGCAAACACAATCACCAATGGATCACATGGGGATCTTGAAAAGTTTGCACTAGAAGGAAATCTAAGATTTCAGAAGATTCTGAGTACCCTATTTAATGCTGGACTGCTACCGGAAGAGTGGGAGTAATAACAGAAGCAATTTTCAACTCTCTGACCTGTCTTTTTTCCCCTCTGGAGAGAACTTAAAGTCTACCTACAGGAGTCTCATTGTGAATTTTGGCCTCTCTACCATCAAAAGCCACTTTTTCCATTCCCCAATTTTCCACTGGTGAACTCAGGAAACAGCTGTAGCAATTCTTTCCATGCCAGCTGCAAAGGGGAGGCAAACAGAACCCAGAGTTCTCTTCCCAATATCACTGCATTGCCTACAGGGTTGGGAGAGGAAATCTGAAAACTCCTACAGATCCTGGGATGCTCTGAGAATGTTACATCATTGTAGTTAAGGTTATTGGGAGAATTTTACAAACCACTGTTCTGCAGAGCTTAGAATGCTAAATTTGGATGAGAAATAACTTTTAGAAGTAGCAACTGAATTTTACTAGCCCACTATTAGAGATAATGACAACTACTGCACCAAAAAGCTACCATGTTTCTCTCTGAGCTAAATAATAAAAGTTATTCAGATATCTGTTTAGCATATTTTTCTAAACATAGCATTCCAGTAATTCCCTCAGTTGCAGTTGGGATTTTCATGGGCAAAAAGGTTTAATGACTGCTCCTTCTTGAGTTCCCTAGCTATAGTCAATAACACCTTCTGTGTGATGATCAAGCAGCTTGACTTTAGAAACTCCTAGCAATTTATACTACAAATGATCCTCTAGTATCATAATACATACCAACAATTAAAGTCAATGACTGAAATGCTCCAGAAATGTGTTACAGTGTTACTGATATATCCATCAACATAACTGCTGCCTTTTTAAAGCAGCTGTCAATCACAGAAATACTACTCACTTTTTTGCTTCTCATATATGAAAGGCGTCCCTCATGAGCATCAGGGTAAGTGCAAAACAAATACGTAGTGATGGCATGCTTTAAAAATGAATCACCAAGCATTTCAAGCCGCTCCAAATTAAATCCATCGCTAGCATTCGAGAGAGTCAAAGCCTGAAGAATGAGTCCAGGGTTTGGGCCAAGGGTTTTTGAGGAGTACCCACTGGAAGGGCTTGTTATAGAATCCATTCTTTCATTTGAAAGAATACAAGCATTTGAAGCACTGGTGGTTACTGCCATTTTGGGACATCCATCTGAGGTAGATTTGTTGGGATTTCCATCAAGATATTTATTACTCAGAGTACATTCATTGCTGGGCTTGAGCTGGTTCTCACTGTTGTATAAATTCTGAATAGGATACGAGGTAGTTGGTTGTACAGGTATTTCCTGCCTGCAGTAATTTAGCTGATTTTCTTGGCAAAAGTCTAGGTTAGCTAAGTCACAATTGCCGTTGGCAAGATTTTTATAATAAGAAACACCATTAACTGTTGCCAGTTCTACTGAGACATCATTTTGGAGTTTAATGGGTGACTCAATCAATGTTCTGTAGTTCACAGACATTTGGTCATGCTTATCTGCAGAGGAGGTTTTATTAGCACCTTGATGTGCAGCATTTTCAGGGACTACAATTGCGCTGTGCTTAAAATAATTTTCAGTCTCTGCTAGAGAAGAACTAGGTGCAGAGATGAAGGATTTGCTGTCAATAGATTTTTTCCACCCAAAGTCCAGGTTAGGATATCTGTAAGATGAATTGATTTAAAAATAGTTATTCATGTACTGATACACACATGCACAGAAATCCCAGAACTACCAGAACTACTCCAACCAGACAAATCACCCACCAATTGTACCCCTACTCCAATGCACTGATAACTGCTTTTAGAAGACAAGTCCCAATCTACTTGTGAATAGGAATGGAGACACTGCTAAGAGAGGTAAGATGAAGGTCCTACTGCTCAAATGGTACCAGCATCCAGGGATTCTGGATGCTGGCCATAGTACCCAGAGTTCATTTGAAGGTGTCATTTTTTTTATAACTAACTGATAACCACAAGGATTTGAATCAAAGAACCATGAGTAGAACAAGAGCATTACTAGCATTGTTCTGCAAATGCTTGTTCTACTGGAAGAGTCTGCACAGTGCTATGAACAGTCAGCTGAATAACACTCCTCATGCTTGTGCAAACAAAACATCATGCTTAGATTAAGTTTCAGTTTTTGCACAGTGTGCTAGGCAAACAGCCCTCCCTTAGGCAGACCCGCCAGACCCAAGGAGAAGCTACCAGAAGACACATTGGCAAAATTTCAAACTACTGTTCAGCATAATTACAGAGAATTAAACTACAGCAAATCCAATACCTGAAATCTGTAGGAAGTGACTTAACTCCTACACCAGCATCAATGGCAGTTTGAGATCTGAGTTCCTCGGCTGTCAAAAGGCAGTGAAGACGATAAAGAATACTAGGGAGACAAACTGCTTTTCTCCACAGTGATGCTGGAATAGGATGTATAGCACAGAGTTCTGGAACCAGGATCTTTAATAAAGGGAAAAAGAATCCTCCTTAAAGTCTGATATTATCTTTCAGAGTAGTAAAGCAGTACTACAGAAGTATTAATACAGGGAAGGACACTATTACCTGTTTGTTCTGTAGACTCTCCCACTTAGCTTTCCTCTTCTCAGCACTGCTTAATGGAAGAGCTTTACCCTTCTGATTCAAATGACGAGGAGTCAAAAGATTAAGTCTAAAAACATAATTAGAAAGCCCTATATTTAAAATACATAGTATAGTAACCCTGCATTCCACCTGGAAAGGTGGGTAAGAGAAGAAAAGAAAAACTTGATTTACGAGATGACGTTAAGCTGGAATGTTGGAAACCCTCTGAAATATTTTATTAGCCTTACATAAATTATTTTTGCTCCCCTGGAAATGTTTTTCCTGAGCCAAAGCCTCCAAATTTTATTTGGGCAAAGTTCAATCACAACTCTAGTTATAATCTACTTTCTAAAAAAATGGGTACTAAACACAGCAGCCCTAGGAGGAAGGTAGAAAAAGAATGCAGAGGAACTGTCTTTGCATTTGCCATGCTAGCATATGACCTTTCATGTGATCTTTTACTGCTGCTGGTTCTTTAAAAAGTTCAGCTTACCATGGCTGCCACTGGAAGAGAAATAAACTATGCCAGCTGCTTGTGGTTTTTCCACAAGTGTTCTGGTGGCATGCTCGGGAACAGGAGGGCCTTGAACCCTATGGATCAATCCCTCCCCCAACACCCCTCCATTTCATTTCATGTCACAGTTTTGACAAGAAGCTCTGGCTGAGTATCTTTCAGCTGCAGGTAGGAGACTTGTGAGGTCAGATCTCTATCCCTACAACACACATCCACTTTTGAAAAATCCAAACACTCTTGTGGTACTTTCCCAGCAATCATAGCATTAGGATATAAATAGTTTTAAAATTACCTCAAGTGATCAATATTTAAGTTTAGAAACATTAAGCAATATGTTTTTAATCAATCCCACAACTAAAAAGTATTTGTAAACTACTGCAAAGTTTTGTTTTGGTTTTTTAAGATTGAGTTTACCTTGAAGATGTGTGGTCCACATCCAGCAATGGCTGGTTGAGATTGGTCAGGTCAAGGTTATACTTGGTTTTATAATATTCGGCAAAGGTTTCATATTCTGGGGAAGGAAATTTGCTCAGTGGAGTAAGATCTGTGTAGACATCAGCAACATAGAATCGATGAGGCTGATCAAAATTTCGATACCTAAACAGAAGCAGATATTTGAGTTGTAATGGCAAATGTCCTGAACAACCTTCATAACATGTTCTGATGGTTAGCATGCTTTCAGGATTACCATGTAAGATTTAGAATGCAACCTTAAGCCATCTGAAAATAAAAAGTAGCTCCAGTAATCCTGAGCATCAAAATCATGCAATTTATGAAAGTAAACACTCTATGTTTATTTGTTGGGATACAAAGTTACTTTAGATGCATCCAAAATCTTTCCTGTTTTGCTTTGGTTTTTTGGTGCAGCCACTAAAAGGGTTTCTGAAATTCCCTCCCTTTGAAATTCAATATATTTCAAATGTATTATTAGGTAAGAAGGTATTCTGGTTCTGACACAAAGTACAAATTGCTATGGAAGTACATGATTAACTGCATAGGTCTCTTGAGCTTGACTACTGTGTTCTGCTGAAACAGGAAGTAAAGCTTAAAGAGCAAAGAAGACACATTATTAGTTTAAAAAGCGTAACTAGAATGCAGCAGGTTTCAGCCTTTAGTCTTGTGTAAGTCCAATAATAATATTTATGCTAGAAGCTTCCTTGTTTCTTTAAATGTATGTTTTAAATACTTGCAATATTCCAAGTTTTAATTCCTTTTGTTTTCCTGACTTATGCTATAGCAAAAGATTTCCATGGCTGAGGAATGCTGAGAATTGTACCACTTTTTCCTGCTTCAGCATGCAGAGGACTGCACATTTACAGTATCTTATTCAAGAGGAATGGTTCTTTTCCAGTTTGAGAAGCAATCTTTTCAAGCAAGGATAAAGCTAACTGGTCTGAGCCCCTGCCAAGTGCCATCAGATACCCTTTAACTTGCATCTGAACTATTAGTAACTAAGATATACATAAACACAGCTTTATTGTTTACAGGATACTGACCTTGGAATGATAACTGCATCCTGGTAATCTTCTAGTTTGAAAATAAAAGGTGTCTCCTTTGTATACTGTGTACTGGGAATGCCTGTACGAGCTTCAGATTTTTCAATATCTTCCATAAATTTAAAATCAATGTCCAAAGTGCTGGAACCATCAACTTAGAAAGAAGGATGGGTACATTGATTTTTTTAAAAAATGAAATGCTTTTTGGAATGATACTGCAAGTTCTTACTATATATTCTTGAATGGCAAACATTCATCTGCTGTAGTAAAAAACCACCAAGAATTCTATGCCACACTAAAATCTGTAAATGTAACAGGACTCCTAGCTGTGCCATAGACATTGGAAGTAATTCTAACCATGGCTACAATCCTTCTTTCAACCTCTAACCCCCAACTAAACAAAACTATTACTTGCAGGTAGAAAGTCATTAGCTCCTAGCACTGTTTTACAAATTTATAGACAATATCTTGGAGAGGATTTCTAAGATTCTGCACCATCTCTCAAATTTCCAGTGCATCAGAAAATGCCCCCACTCTTCTATATAATAACTAGACCTAGTTTTACTTTTCCTGCACCTTAGTCAAACACCTTCTCTGCATGCAGATGGGCACCTTTGATCCATTCTACTATATGTAAAAAAATTAGTATTTATAAGAGCACTCTCCTCACCAACATTAAGAGGTAGAACACAATAGGCTGAATCAGCATCGGTAGGTCTAAATTCTAGTGCAGGTTTCTCAAGTCGAAGAATGTGAGAAAATATGTACTGATGTAGTCTTGTGATCAGCTCAAGCATTTGTAAAGACAAAGTGAAACCTGATTTTTTTAGCTCAATAGATATGGTCACCTCTCCTGAGCGGGTATACACAGGAAAGTGAGGAATCTAAGAAAAGAAAGCAAAATAACAAAACAAAACAAAAACAAACAAAAAAACTAACGTCAATGCAAAATTGTTTCACAAAAGCACTTACCTAAGTTTGTATCTCTGGTTAACTGCTAATACATACTGATAAAGAGATGCAGATATTTTCCACAAAGAAAGCAATGTTTTGCAGACTGAGGGTATGCATAATATGTCATGTGCTATGTCATGTGCATGGGCAATAAGCCACGCCAGCAACTCATAAACTGTTATAGGAATTGCTCTACTCTTGATGGGTTATATCATCTCTGGACCCAAAAAACAAATTCCATTGCGGATAGGGAAAATCAGCTAGCAAGCCCCATGTGGCAAGAATGGCAAACACCCCTTGCCAGTCTTGCCATGGAGCTAATGGGCAAGCACCAGCAACATCCAACCCCAAAGTCCCCAACTTAAGGGCAGCTGGCAGCGCCCACCTCCCCACACCAGGCTTGCTCCATGTCCCACTTTTGAGAGATCACAACTCCCAATTTGACAGTCCCGTCAAACAGCCCCAGTGACATGTTGGAGGGGACTATTATTGATTTTGGGGGGCAAAAATGTACACAGAACTTTGTTATTATATCTGCACAGCTGTGAATTTCCACAGTTAAGCTACTATTGAAATCAAGGCAATGGATCAAGGAAAAAAGGCGCAAATTATCTATAGCTGCAAAAAGGGCTTTGGACAGCATTTGAACCCCCTGTGTATCAAGATCCTCAACCCCCCGCAATCTTTTAGTCCCCAAGGTACACATTTTACATGTTGTCCTAGGCAAATATGTGCTAACCCCTTTTTCAAAAGGAAAGGGGCCTTTATTTTCATTTATTTATTTATTTAGGATATTTGTATGCCGTCCTTTGCAAGAGACTCAGGGAGGCTTACACAAATAAAATACAAATAGCTAACGTAACATAAATAAATTAATGATCCACTCTGGCTTCAATTAAAATATGATGATAAAATTCAATATTAAAACTTATTAAAATATTGATTTAAAAAAAAAGGTCTTAACCTGGCGCCGAAAAACATATAATGACCTTTAACAGATAGCTGCCAAAATCTAAGTTTTGTTTTGTTTTAATGGAGGCCTGAGTAGGAACTGTGTGTTTTGGACTGAGGAAGCAAGACCTAAACCTTCAGTTCCCACTCAAGCTCACCTTTTCTCTTGAGAAAGCAGGATATGAATGATACTTGCAATTTCTAGGACACCTAGAGACTCAGGACAAAATGCAATCTGTAGGCATTAAAGGGGGGGAATTTAATCTTGCTCCTCTAAACCAATTTTTGCAGCTAAAGATCATTCACATCTTTGAGTCAGTCTACCTATCTAGTTCACCAAAGAATGCCATATAAAGCAAAAATGTTAAAAGCCTATCGAACACTCTACAATAAGTGTGTTTATCCATAAGTATGCTGTCCCAAGATGCCATGCAAAAGAGAGAGCATATAAAAGTTTTAAATAAATAAATAAGTACGTGGCTGTACAACTATCAAGAGAAATAGTTATGCATAAGTTTCTAATGCTGATGACGCTTACTTCTCTCTCTCTCTTTTTCATCAAATCTTGGTGAGGTGGTGGCAGTTTTGAATCACTGCCTGGGCTTGAGGGCCAATAAACTGAGACTCAATCAAGACAAGACAGAGGTGCTGTTGGTGGGTGGATCATCTGTCCAGCTGGAAGATTTTCAACCTGTCCTGGACTCCCCTTAAATGACAAGGTTTGTAGTTTGGGAGTGCTCCTAAACCCAGAATTGTCACTGTAGTCACAAGTAGACTCAGTGGCTAGGTGCGCCTGTTACCGGCTTAGGCTAATTTAGCAACTATGGCCTTATCTGGATGGGCAGAGCCATCCACATTCTGGTAACATCTTGACTAGACTGTTGTAATGCACCCTACGTGGGGCTGCCTTTGAAGACAGGCTGGAAATTCCAACTGGTTCAGAAAAGGGCAGTGCAGTTGTTAGCAAGTACTAGCCTCTGTGCTCGTATTATGCTGGTCCTTTACCAGTTGCACTGGCTGTCACAGTTGAGGTGCAGGCCCAATTCAAAATGTTTCTTTTGGCATACTGAGGCCTAAATGGCTTGGGGCCAGGAAATTTGAAGGAACGCTTGCTCCCATATGTCCTTACATGACTAGGAATATCGGTTACGGTGGTCCCTCTCAGGGGACTGCTCCCAAAAGTAGTAAAGGGGTGGCAAACAGGAGAAGAGCCTTTTTGGTTGTTGCACCCCATCTTTGGAACATAATCCACACAGAAATATGCCTGGCACCTTTTTATTTTCATTCGAGTGCCCGGTGAAAACCTTATTTACCAGACATTTTAAAAACTCTGTGTGTGTGTGTGTGTGTGTGTGTGTGTGTGTGTGTGAATTGTTTTATTGTTCTGCTGTACCTGGAACTGGTTAATTTATAAGACTGTTGTAGTTATTTCTTCTATGTTTTTTAGTATTGTAATGTTTGATTTTTCTGTATTGTTGTATGATAGGTATTTTATTGTTCTATAACTGTTTTTATTCTTGTCTATTTGAAGTATAAACCACTTAAGAGAGCCATGTGGGCTATGGGAGCTGAATAGAAAGTATTAAATTACTTTCAGAAAAGGTGAAAAGGATATCAGACATCATCTTAATATTACCCACTCAAATATTGAAAGCACTGTGAGGTCTTCAAATCCACTGTGTTTAGGAGTCAGGCATTTATCTTTTCCAGGTTATAATATTAGCCTTTTAGCAGTGAAAGGTTACTGAAAATCCATTGATGTTGACTTTATATTAATTACAAAGACTACATAATTTAAGAGAACAAATGTATCAGTAAATATTAAAGAACATTTCAATACTAAGTTTATCTGAATTACGCACTCCTCTCCAAAAGAGGTAACTGTTGAACATTGCCAAAATATATGGGTAAGCAACACATTAGCAGTACTATTACCTCCAACCATTAGCTGATTCAGATAAAGCCTTATTTAAGAAGATGCTGTGTAATCCAGTAACTATCCAACACAAGTTTTTTGCTGAACAAGATGCAACTTAAGATCAGCAAACCTTTCTGGCAGAGGCACAAAAACCATGTTCCTTCAATTAGACAAAAAAAGGACCACCTAATTCCCTACATTCATCTTTAAGGCTCTGTGTCTCATGCATATGAACTAATAATAAGCATTCCTAAACATGAATTGTTCCAGTGAATGCTTCTAATAGCAGAGGGCATTCTGGATCTGTAAAGGCAGAAGCACCAAGTCTAGATTCTAACAAATGCTGCAACTGAAAGAACATCTGAATTTGTGCTTTCATATATGAGCAATCCTGAATATCTCAAAACAACTGAGGGAGAGGGTACAAGCACATTTTTAGCTACCTGAGGTATAGGCTTGGCTGTCAGTATTCCAAAACATCTTGCAGTATCTTCAGGAGGATATAGCTTTCGCCGCCTGAAGTTGAGCTCATCAGGTAGAGGGGTAGTTAATACCATTCCAATTACATAAAGGTAACAGGGTTGGTCAGGTTTGGGATAACTGTCCCTCAAACATTCTGGAATCTATAGACATAGCATACATAAACATACTTTTAAAATTCTAAGTATAGTTAAATATGAATTTTAATTATAATTTTTGCACATAAGAGCTTTAAAAATAGAAAATATATTGGGACAGAGGAATACATGACAAGTTACTAATTCATTAAAGACTGTAAGCAAAACTAGCCAATCAGTCACCAGAACCATAATTTCTGCTCCACTGTGTCGACAGTTTCTGCCATAACAAAATAATAAAGCAGCAAATGAATCATAATAGAGTAGAACAGATAATTCATGTTCCGCACTCCAGTCTACAAATTAATCATGGCTCAAGTTGGTGAGTCTTTGCAAAGACTACATATTCTTGGCAGAGAATAAATTAGTTTCTCTAATAAAGGAATGTAGAGTAGCATTTAAAAGATGACAAATGCTAAAATAAGACTCCTGCATTTTTTAAAAACCTAACTCTAGCTGCAGGTGCTTTCCTGCAAATTGTACTAGGTCCTTTTCCTAGCTCCTTGTGTCTTAAATTCTGGTGAGCCCTCCACCAAAACAGTAATAGTATCTATAGCACTACTGAGCACACTGAAAGTCTAATTTAGTGAAATTCAATGCTTTTAGGGTTTAATGGCTGCTATAGAAATGGAAAGGGCCATGTGTAGCTTGCAATCAAACTAAAACTGATTTTTAAATGCTCAATAGTATTCTGGATGCTGCCTTTAAAAAAAAACGTGGGGTGGGAGTTACCCACCAAACTGCAGCATCAGTGAGGAAAAAATAGTCCCTAAATCTTGTGAACTTGCTTTCCCATGGTATAGACCATATAAAGCTAGATGGACAAAGCTACTTCTTTATGTATTAGCATGTAAACAACAATGCAGGGCTTTCATGGAGCAAGAAATATTATTAAATAATATTGCTTTTGTTTCCTGAGAGTGCAATATGGCATACATTGAGTTTCCCTGGCAGGCTTTCATCTAGTCACCATGCCTTAGCTTCCGTAAGGGTGCTGCATCACAGACTCCTTACAACATGCCTGGGTTCATACTGATAACTCGAAGTAACAGCCTACTTTTTATTGTTGTGTTGTAGCATTTAAACATGCAAAAGAAGGAGGAAGCAAGTACTGGGAATGAAAATCATTACTTATTCACCATGACAGATTAAGATTAAATTAACTTTATTTGAAATAAATTTCAGTTTCCTTCTACTGAATGTTTAAGCAGGAAAATCTAATGCCTGGGGGCCTATGCAATCATGCACATAACTACAACTGTCACTCTGTGGTGGAACAACAAGTCTCCCATCCCCAAACGTTTTGGAAAAAAATTGCTTTTGCTTCCATAACCGTTCTGTAGGGCCTCACATTTACACAGTGGAATAGAGAAAGAGGGACAGGAATGAACTACAAGACAGAAGAACCTTAAACATGTGCTTAAAGATTGTAGATGCGATCACACATAGCATGGACACAGAACTATACTAACAGCTTTAGGGTAGCATTGCCTTCGCTTTGTAGAGCCTGGCCTTCCTGGAACACTGGTTTCTTCTTCATCATGCAAATCAAGTTCCTCCTCATATTTCACTGTCTCTTTTCCAACAGGCATCAAGTGATCATCCAGTTCACCTAAAATGTATAGATAAAGATAAATTATAAATCAAATAAGAATTCTGTAACTCATCCAATAAAATGACTTTTATACAAACTATTTTAAAATACTGAGAACTGTGACATTTGGTTGACCTCAGTAACAAAGCATTAGCAGCAATTCTGCATGCACCTTACATTCTTTGCCAATTAAAGTTCTAAGGTTCCTAATCTGTTTTAAGGCAATGAAGGTAAAATTTTCAAGGCACACATAAAAGAATTAAAATAATAATCCCTTCTTTGTTGAAACTGACAGAGAATTTAATTTCCTGCACCAATGGTTCAGGGAAAGCTGTCCAAGTTTAAATTACTCAGGAAACCTTTACATGATTCTCAGACACTATGATTTTTTTAAAGTTATTGTTTAGAGACCAATCTATAGTAACTAAAGATAATAGCAGCATACAAAGATTAATAGTAAGACAGTTCCTGCACGCAGACTTACAATCTAAACAGATATGACGCAAAAGTAAAAGGGACTGAGAAGGAGTAATAAAGCAAAACTCAGTAACAGTTCAAAGTATTTGAGTTTTCTAGGTATTATAAGTTTTCCCTTCTGGCAGGGAAGAGACAAGCAATTTCCCTGCAGATAATCCTCTCTAACCAATGTACCAGTCCAGATTGGTATGCCCCGCCACCCTCTGAAATTACATTTATCCTGCGAGACTGTAGGGTGCAGTCTTCCAGTAGCCTCGGTTGTCTGCAAGGGATGAGGTTAACATACATAGGAATGCATCCTTTCCAAGCATGCTGGTTTGGATCCAGACATGTGAGAAGTTGCATGTGAACTTTTCCTGGCCCCTCCCTCCTGCCAGCTGCCCCTTCAGTGTTCTGACCCTCATGCAGAGGGTCTTGGGGCTTTCTAGAACACTACGAGGTGGAGCTAACTGAAACTGCAGTGGCAGCAGAAAGTCAGGCTGAGACACCATGCACAAGGTGCCTTATTGCTTTGGGACTGCATACCAGGACTGCAGTACAAAGGATTTCTACATGCACACAAATGCTTCCAAGCCAGCATTTCTCAGTAGCTAAAGGTTCTTCCAGATGAAGAACTCCTAGTGCTACCAACAGAAGTCATTCTGTAGCTATTCTGTCTTTTTCACATCAAAAGATTTTCGAATAGAAGAATTGAATAGAAGAAAAAGAATAGAAGAATTGATAAAAAAAATCAGGAGACTGGACACCCACAATTTCTGAACCAACCATAAAATATTATGGATAAGGCGGGGCAACAGTGTAATAACATCTTCCTCATGTGGAAGCCTCCTAAAAAATAATTCAGCAGCCAAAATCTAGGATTCCTAAAACTGTCCAAGAAAGCATACTAATGGCAGTTGTGTTTGTCACAAATCAGCTGAAATATTGCAGGTATGTTTGTTAATTTCTATGCTGCCCCAGAAGCTTTCGGGATGGTTTATAACAATCCACAAAACAAGACAATAAAATAAGAAACTGGAACCAAAGCTGCTGTAACAGAAGGCAGCCTACGTGTACCTTTAACTGTAGTTGTCTGAGTGATCACCTGTACAATCCACTTATGACATTTATGCCTCGCTAAGCAGCATTTCAGAAACTTTTCGAATTCAACAGAATCTGCAGGCCCTGAACATGAAAATCCTGTGCCTTTGCATTGCTCAAAGGCAGAACAAAAGTTATCTCCTCAAATAATCTGAGGACACCACAGGTGTCAGTCAGCAGCTTATACATGCAGCAGGAAAGAAGGGCAGGCTGCACAACTAACTACACAAATGATCACTCGAAGAATTATTGTTACATATAAGTCATTTGCCTTCTTCATGTTGTCTGAGCAGTCCAACATGTGGAAGAGTAGCAAGTAGATCGCCTGGAGGTGGAAGCAAGCATATAACCCAGCAGTTCTGCGACAGATATCACAGAATGTCTGCCACACAAGACAGACTACTGCCATGTGCTCTCCTGTGTCCACAGAGGCGGACTACCACTACATACAAATCAGACAATGTGAGCTCTTAGCAGAGTAACTATAGACAGCATCTCAGAGAGGCTCCAAAAGGATTAGAATTCATGCAGGTGTGAAACAGTCGTACAACAGTTTAATAAAAATGGCCAAAAGGTAAAGGCTATGAAGTGGCCACTGGATTCTCAAGTAAACCTTGAAGAATGGTACAGCAAGAAACAAAGCCAAAACATCCCAGGAAGGACAAACAAAATGCTTTTCATTAAAACAATGCCATCAATAGGTCTTAGACCTCAAGAATCCCACAGCAGAAAACAAATTAGTAGCAGCAGACTGGAAAATGCACAGCTGCTCAGCACCAGCAAGGTGTAGAGCAGGATAGAGACAGGTGACTTGATGACTGGTAACCTACATCTAAAACTGACAGTTCGCTTGCCTGTCTACCTGCTTATCCCCAGCACCCCACCCCAATATAATCAGCACATACATCATAGAAAACCTACTGGGCAGACCTGTGAAACACATACAGTGGATGACAATGTCTCAAAAAGAAACATATAGAGAAAAAGGAACCACAACACACACACTTTTACCTTCTCTGAAACATCTCCCAAATCTATTCAGGAGTGTCCTCCACAGCAAATGTGAGGCAAGTGCAGAGGGTGGCAGAGACAGGAAATCCATTCTAGTTGCAAAAATGATACCACTGGACATAACCCCAGGTACTTGGATATAAGCTAGGCACCAAAGAAAAAGCTAGATTCCAAGCTTTAAAGTATAGAGTGCTCTAGATAATGCTGTCTTCAAGTATAGTTACACAAGTGATGTGTACATAGCTCAATCTATGCATTACTGACAAGATGCAATTGGCTCGCTTCAACAGTAAGTGGAGCTATAACCCACCTTGTTAGTTCTTTGTTAAGAACTGCTTGATTCTTTTTCCTTCTCTGATTCCAGCCTTTCTAACTTTCTGTTTTTTCTGAGTCATGCTCCTGAAGACTGCTAGTGAATAAAGGTTTGCAAACTGCAATTGTGCAGTGTGTGAGGATGTTTTTCACAGTTCTGCAGCACTCTGCAAATAGGTATTGGGCAGGAACTTGGGACCAGGCAGCAGCCCAAAGTTTTGTAAAAAAAAAAAAAAAACCCTGCAGTAAGTGTGTAAATGAGAGTACGCAACCTCTAGAGTCCTTCAGTTAGTATCCTCATAGGATCCAGTCATTCATGAACACAACAGAGAGGAATTCTCAGAGCAGGATCTGCAAATAGCAGTTTGGGCCAACAGTTCCTTGGAATGGATGGTCAAGGAGACATGGTCAAAACCCAAACAGCAACTGAGTTAGAAATATCTGCAACTATATGCAAGGGAGCTTTTTCAAGCACCCTGGGTCTGATGCTGGGTGTTCTACTTTACACAGATCCTGTGTAAATGACAGTGTAGAGACCATAAAAAATAAGTGTGTAAAGCCTGGTGCTGAACTCTACTTGTAGAGGCAGGATGGGGTGGGGGAGAGGCCTCTAAAAAGGGGTACAACCAAATACACTGACTATTTGTATGCCAGTCTGCTATGGGAGATGGACAGCAGATCTGGAAGTGACTATGATCACAAGAAACAAGGGAACTATAAACATAGAGGATATCCAGCGGAAGGAAGATGTGCATTTTTGAAATCTGAACCTAGAGCTTTGCTGCATGTCTCTGTCCCATGTGAACTGGATCAGCAGTCAACACTGCAACCTGAACTAACAATTATATGACCATCAGCCAGACAGTGAATGGTACTGAAGTGACTAACTGCTCAGAAGGATACTGTGGAGCAACTACAGTTGGCCTGAGCACCCTAGGCTTGTCTGATAATGCCCTGAATAGAAGGAGGACACTCATTTTTAAAGAAATGTGGTTTCAGAGTGTGGTAATGGAGGCATTTATGGTGGTGAAGGATTATGCAAACTATATTCCAACAACTAAGGCAGAAGCTACACATACCTCATAGAGCAGGACAATGCCAAGAAAACAACCATCTCTGAAATGTATCCTACACAGGCACACATCACTTCTGTGGTAATGCACAGGGAATTCGAAAAACATATTGGGTTAGATTCAGAAACAGGCACTGATTATATGCAGTGCCACTTCCTACACTACAACATAGTAGGTGCTGTAGATATCTGCAGTGGGAAGGAATCAGAGAAAATCCCCGTTTTGCATCTCTGCATCCAATGGTATTTCATCCTGGTACCATTTGTGAACAGGAACCCTTCCATTCATAGATGGGCAAGTTTTGGTTCAACTGCCTAATCAGAGTAAACTCACAGATGTTGGAAAATGAATCAGTAGAACAACAGAACATTCCAAGACAATACCCTTCAATTGTTTCATTGCCAATTAAATGCTTTTCAATTTCAAAAATGCTTACCAATTTTATGCAACTTTTCACAGCAAATAAGAGCAACAACTCTCTCTGCCAATCTTGTACAACTCATTGGGGGACCCTAGATATAAAATTTGAAGCAAACACATCACCATTCTTTTACACATCTGTAATAATAAAATCACTTATTTTAAAATCACTGTTTACCTCAGTTTTAAATGACCAAGTATTATCACCCATAAAAAACACAGCCCTTCTACAAACAACAACATTAACATTAACAAAGCCACATTGAGAAGTATACAGCCTTACACATAACAGATCAATGTAATTTATATAATCCACAGAAGTTGCTAGCAGCTGCTCCCTGCAGCTTGCAGAAAACATGCAAGGCATTTCCTGCAAAATAAATGCCAGACCACACATGTATAATTCAGGTGAGCATTGAACTTGCAGGGAAAATAAGACATTTGCTTTTACTGACAGAAAGGGGTGCCAGGAGCCCACTCCACCCTCTAGTACTTCCTATGACATCTGCACAGCTAAGCTCTGCCAGTTAAACATTAGTCTGCTAGTCTGGAGGTGGTGGAGGGAAGAGATACAAAGAAGATCCTTTCCTCTTTTTTTTGTCCTATGCTGTTATATGACTTGCACTGATTTGAGCAGTCTCAGCTATGCTCCATTTGGCAGATCAAGTTTCAGCTGAGTCAGCTTAAATCTATACTTGAATCCCTTCAGCTAATCTCAAATCCATGGAATTGGGCTGCTTAACAGAAGCAGAGTAAACGTGTATCTAGTAGCAAAACATACACTGTCAGTATAAATCAAAACCAATGGGAAGTCATATAACCTGAACAATTTCAAAGGTTATAGTAACATAAGCAAAATGAGGTACTTACAACTATTGATGCTCGAAGAGGAGAATTGATAGGCAGATAAAGAGTTGAATAAAAGGTGTTATCAGGGAGTTCTCTAGTTTTACACTTAGGAGCCAGATGAGTAAATGGGTCACTAGGCAACCTAGCACAGTACCTATTTGATACAAAAGTTTAAAAGCATGAATTGCTCTAGAAAGAAACAGACATCTTACAGCCAGTTTATTTTCCAGTTACTAGAACTCAACAGGGAAGGAAGAGGAAATAATAGTTCCCCACTTTCTGTCTCTCCAAAAGTCATGCAGTAGGTTCGAGTTAAGATTTAAGGGCTCAACCAAAGGATAAGAACAAATACACCTGCAAGCTGCAGACTACTATTGGGTGGTGAAGAACTGGTGTGAGACAGAGGTTTTAAGCTCAGAATGTATAGTATGCTATGAGAATAATTACAGAAGCTTTAAGAAAACTTTAAGTAGATTAGATTATATTCTTTATTGCATTTCTTTTAAAAATTAGATAAGCATTAAGCATTTGTAATCTATGGGGTGAAATAACTTTCTCTGAATAGGACAGTAGATACTAGTCAACAATTACTTATACCAGCAGCCCATTCTGAAGGAAGGGTTGTAGAACAAAAAGAGGTTAATTTGCTCTCATGTAAGGATCAGGAAAAAACAAACATTTTGCAACAAGTTTGAGATGCACCAAGAAAAGGAGTGCTGGCAATTGAGATGACTAGTAGGTTCCCTGAGTTGTCCATTTCATGTATCTGTATTTACCATTTACTATAGCAGATTACTTAAAAATCAAGTTTCTTCTGCATCCACACCAAATTATTATTACTGGTATACAACTAATTGATATGACTTCCTTAGTTCTTGGAAGACAGGGAATCTGTAGCACAACCATAACCAAGTTTTCTCATATCTAAAGTTACTCCACCATTATGCATCAATGATGAGGCGTAAAAGAAATCCAGAAAATTATATAGAAACTAAAATAGCAACTGACTGCATACCTATTAATGTGTCCAATAGCAGTGTTTATTGTGACTCTTGGACCACTATCTTCTGGTCTCAGCACATATGGTGGAAAAATATCATCATCATCTATAATAGGCTCATTTTCTGTTTCACCAGTATCTACTGACTTTGAGCATTTGTTCCTCAGGATCTTTAAAAAAAAATCCAGACAGAGAAATGGAAGAACAAGAGGGAAACAGGGATACCCATACAGACTCTTCTGAAAGAAACTAACTAGAGCACCATTAAGATAAAATGATGAGGCACTTATCTGCTATGTCACAACCTCTGGCAATCCCATTAGTAAGCTCATATCCAGCCAAATACTCACTGTCCCCCTTTCCCTCCCACCCAACATCTAAGGAGGGCAATTACTCTGGGTCCTGTGAATGGAACAGGATATATCAACATTAACAGTACACTATAACTGATAAATTATCTCTGGCAGTGATATTGAGTGAAGTTGAAGAAAGTGAAGGTGAAGGGTAGCTTGCATGAACAGTCAGACTCTGGGCCTCTCCAGTTTAACCCCCCGCCACCACCTTTTAGTCTATTACCTAATATTCTGTTGTTATGCTACAAACGGAATTTGAATTATTGGACAGTATGGCAATGTTGTAAAGTAAGTAATGTTTTTGAAAAGGGCTAAGTAGTAAACTGGGAAAAAAAGGCTGGGCACCCCCCCCCCCCCACACACACACACTTTTAGATTGAGAGATACAGAGACTGGATGCTCATCTGGGCGAAGTTCTTTCTCTTCCTATATAGCATTTGTATCTCAGAGGCCCCCAGTGCAGCACCTGCAAGCATCATGGCACTTGGGAGCTCCTGGAAAAAAATACATACAAAAGCTTTTTGGGAGCCAACTATTTTTGTCACCTACCTTCTCAATTGCTTTGTAGGTTTTAAGATCTTCTTCAAAACATTTAATTTTGTCTGAATCTGCTAACATGATGTAATTTGAGATAGGTGCCCTGGCTCTTCCTTTGGACTGCACGTAGGAACGATATTCTGTGGGCAAATCAAAACGAACCACCAAATTGCATTTTGGTATGTCAACACCCTCTTCTACAATACTAGTTGCAATTAGCAAGTTGGTTTCATGTGCTCGAAATTTTCTAAGTACCTACAAAAGTAACCAAGAAGATACATTTCTAAGACCAATCATTGACAAACACTTTATACTTCAGAACTTAATAGGAATTAACCCTACAAATGTGTTTACAATTCACTGGTTAGTCAAAACAGTTTTAAACATAAAACTTTCACAGACACTTAACAATATAAGTATTAAAAAGCACCCTTCTTTCATCTTCCTACCCTTTCACTTACTTGTTTATGATATATGATCTTTATAGCCTTCTTACATAACTTAGGTCATGTTTGACCATCTTATTCTCTAATTTTTAGATACACTCTACTAAAGCAAATACAGATCTCAAAGCTCTTTGTGCATTATGGTAATTCTTTTAACAACTCCATAAGCAGGGTAGTAATTTTAGCCCCATCTTGCAGGTAGGCCAAAATAGTGGCTTGCCTATGTCTGTAGCTTAGATTTGAACTGCCAACTCCTGGATCACAACCTACTCTCTCACGCATTATGTTATACCACGTCTTGTTGAAGTGAGCTTTCTAGCCACTAAATATTAAACGACACAGGGTTGTAGGATGACACAGGGATCTAGAACAGCTTTAGTGTGGAACAGAAGGCAATTATTGCCATAAAAGAATTAAAAATATGTACTATTGTATTTCAATGTATTTTATCATGTTGTAAGCCGCCCCGAGGTTTCGGCAAGGGGCGGCATAGAAATGTTATAATAATAATAATAATAATAATAATAATAATAATAATAATAAAAAATAGTAATTACAATTCTGTTTTTTGTTAAATAAGATTACAGAGACACTATCATCTTTCAAAATCATTCACCACAATTTAAATCACTTAATTTTCAAACATTAAATCTCTCCATTTTACAATTCAAGACCCAGAAACATAAATGGTTTGCCTGGATTAGAAAAATCCCCAGAGGCATAGCTAAATACATTCATAAATACACTGTTATTTGAATATCAGTTTAGTAAACTAGCTGCTAATGTAGGGTCCTAAACAGCAAACCAGCTATATAAAGATATTTCCAAACATAGGTATAGCCTTCTTTTGGAACCTAGCAAACTCATTGGATTAGGAAAACCAAATCCATTGGCTTAAAAGTCCTGGCAGTGAACTATTGAAATATCAAAACAGGTTGCACAACCCCTAAGTTTCCTCAGCAAAATGTGACATATCACTGAAGTATTCAGTGAAGTGTAATTGTTCCATTATTTCTTAAAGCAAGCATGATCCAAATATGAAAACAGACTGACATACTTGCCCAAACTCACAATTAAGTCAATTGTATTTTCTAGAGGAAAAACCTCACCGTCTTTTAAGTTTTTTCACTATGTTGAGTAATTTGAATAATTGGAAATGGTGCCACCTTTTTCTTTATGCTTCATCAACAAAATGAAATAAAATCTATCAGTTATTCAAACTCAGAAAGACACTTAACTTCACAGAGACTACAACCACATTATAAAGATAGTATTTCAAAAAGTGGTTGTTTAAAACTTCAACTAGATTGGAATATATATATATATATATATATATATATATATTCATTCAAATACGTAATATATGTGACATATGTTAAATTTGCAGCTCAAGCTTTGGTTCATTAGCAGCAAGCACTATAATTATCATAGTATGCAAAAAGATTTAGTTAATTCCTGAAAGACTAGATACTATGTCTGATACATGTGGTACACACTGACCTTTCTAAAAAAAGTGCAAGTATAATTTGTTTCAAAAATGAAAACAGTCTTTCTACTATATATTAATAAACAAGAACTTCAAACTATGCAGAATTTTTCAGATAAGGAATTTCCTGGACTTGATGAGGGTTTCAAACACATGAAAATGCACAGCATTTTTGCTGTATTATTTTCATTAAAGTTACCTCTTCCTGCTTTCGGAATTCTATTTCCATCTGTTTGCTACGGGGCTGATTCTTTCCAATGCCATGTCCAGTTATAAAATTGCTGCTGATGTAAGCCAGCTCTGGATCTTGTTTGCCAGCTTCTTTTATCAACCTAAACACATTTTGGAAGCCACGTATAGTTTAGAAAATGTGAGTTAACCTCTGGGATATCAAACAATACTGACAAAGAAAGTATGGTAATTGACTTACTTGACTACATACACATACACTCATACACACACACCCACCCCACCATACACAAGGTGGGGGATATTAGCAGGGTCTGGGGACCCCCAAATTTTGTAACAAAACAAACCTGTCTTTTGTGGGGGGGGGGACCTCTAAATGGGTGAATATCCAAAACAGCCCCAAAAAAACACAAGTGTTCAATTGCCATGAAATGCTGACAGGATGGCAGGAAATCGGTTTCAGGCTAGACACCAGGAAAAACTTCCTGTCAGAGCAATACGACAGCGGAACCAGTTGCCACGATAGGTTGTGAGCTCTCCCATACTAGAGACATTCAAGGCGAAACGGACAGTTATCTGAGTGGGATGGCGTGACTTGGCATCCTACACTAGCACGGGGTTGGACCCAATGGCCCTCTTGGCTCCTTCTACCCCTACTATTCTATGAATTTCTGACTCTACAAATGCACAAAACTGGCTGGGATCCTGAACAAAACACTACATGTTTTGTTGCGGGTCCCACTTGTTGCACAGAATCTTTATACCTTAAGTTGAATTTTACAAGAAATAGTTGTTAGAACAAAAGGGCAAATTCAACCTTTTGTCTCTAATCTATTGGAGTTTCATAAAGCAAACATAGCTTTATGAAATGTAAGCTAATATTTTCTAGACTTCTAAAAAATATAGCACTTCCTACTGTTTTTCCTTCATCGTGTTGTAGACTAAAGACTGTAACTGTGAATTAAATTGAAGTAAAATTTTAATATCTATTTCATTTTCCATGTGACTGCTTTTCGATCAGCATAATTCATGGCTCAGTTTTTTAAAATCAATGTAAATAAAAATCAATTGTTCATTATTTCACAGCTGTTTCACTTCACAATGGTCCACAATCCACTATGATCTCACATGGCTGAGAATGTATCTCTAGCATGAAATACTTGCAGTATTTACTTCATTACTTCTAATCAGTTAAGAATACATTTCTATCTGTAACAAGCTTTAGGTGTTTCCTGTACAAGGACATGCAAACAGCAATCCATGCTACTTCGAAGAGTTTTTAAAATAGAAAGCTGCAAGTTCTTTTTATCTATATTTGTTGCTCCTGTGTGCTGTCAAATCATCTGACTTATGGCAACCTTCCTGAACAAATGCCTTCCAAAATGTTCATCTTATAAATATGCATATATCACCTGCCTTCTTTTAACTGATAGTATGTTACCATCTTAACTTGCATATCAAATATTTGAGTTTAGAAATATTTGGGCAGAAATCCAACATTGCAACAGAAATTCCCCTTTTCCTCCTGCACCCTCCATGCTCCCAAATCTACCCTGCAGGGTCCCTGAATCCTCTGGAATAGATTTCAGAGGATGCAAAAGCAAAGGAATACATTCCACTAACGATGTTCATTCTCTTGGTTGGCTGACAACACTGGCCTACGCTCTGGTTCCAGTTAGAACTATTCAACACATTTTAATCACTTGATATTAGCATATCACATACAACCCAAATACATCTGAATATATTTAAATCATACAAATGTCTTGAGAGAAGATGCTGGTTCTAGAAAGTCTTCATATCACTTTATATATATTATTGACTATATTGTCTCTTTGTATGGTGTGTTTACACAGATTAGTAGTAAGGAAGCCTTCACACAAATGGCTTTCAACATTTTTCAGGACAGCTATTCTATATTATTTCTTTTGCAATCAATAACAAATTGGCATTTTACTAAAAAGCCATACCTGTTTAGAACAACTGCTGTGTATCTTCTTTCCACAAAAATAATTCCACATAAAATATTAGTAAAGGGAGAAGGAAAATTAGTCTCAGTTTTCTCTTTCTCCTCTATTTCTTCATCCTCATCCTCATCTTCAGAATCACTCCAAGACACATAGTTATCCTGGTTCCTATTATTATACCACTCAACACTTTCAAATTGTTGCCGTTCATAGGGCTTATATTTACGTAAGATTTCAAGCAGTTTTATTACTTTTGGGGTTACAAATTTCAGGTCAAGTGAGGCAGGCGAGAAGTGCTCTTCACAGAGTGCATGTATTTTCCTTAGGAAAGTATCTGTAAACAATAAAAATTTCCTGTGCAGCTCCTCTTGCTCATGTTTAATGTACTTCTGTAGCTCTCTCACCATCATCCCGGCTACTTTATCTGCACACCAGGGTCCCAGAACAAGCAACACTGCTCGGCAGTCTGATAGTATCTGCAAACAAATTCAGTTCAACAATTTAGAAAAGCAGAGTAGCAGTTTTCATAGCTTACACTGGGCCCTCAAATTCTTTTAAAAAATGAATGCATAAGTACATGCTTTTTGTGCACTAACCAGCCATATATAGATGACTTCCTATGCCATGTAAGTTTCATTTTTAGCAGAATATACACACAGACTGATGCGCATCCCAAAGACCATTTTGAGTTAAAATGCATCTCTAATTGATCAAAATTATTCAAAATGGAAAGTGTGATAAATGGCCAGATAAAGTCTGAATGCTGACAGTTTAATACAGAGATGTAGCAGATTATTAAACAGCTGTATTTCAATTTTTGTTACAGATATTTTGCCAAGGAGATTTCTGTTTGCAGTTCCCTAAAAATAGGACACATATCAAATTGGGTTCAGCAATGGCATAATGTAAGAAAAATGACAGGTGAGCCATGTGTTTCTACCTGTTTAGAAATTAAGGTAGAATCTCTCTCTCTACAATGTACAGATATGTTGCAATCATTCAGAAAACTAAGTGCATCATCCAGCTCTGTTAACAATCTTTCATAGAGCCCACTTCTGTCAGCATATGGTCCACAATCCACCACGATCTCACATGGCTGAGAAGTATACCTGTAGCATGAAAAACCAAAAGACTTGTCAAGCATTTTTAACTACTGAGAATATAAATAAAGGAGTAAAAATAAGAGATTCGAGCTTCTTTTAAACTATAGTGGGTTGCAAAGAAAGATACACAATTCAGCTTTACCTAAATGGATCTAAATTATGTGTTTCCATTTTTAAAAATGGGACTGCGGGTGGCGCAGTGGTTTAAACTGCTGAACTGCTGGGCTGGTTGATCGAAAGGTCAACAGTTTGAATCCGCAGACTGGGTGAGCTCCCGTACTCTATCCCAGCTCCTGCCAACCTTGCAGTTCGAAAGCATACAAATGCAAGTAGATAAATAGGTACTACTTCAGTGGGAAGGTAACAGCGTTCCGTGCACCTCGGTGTCTAGTCATGCCGGCCACATGACCATGGAGACTGTCTGTGGACAAACACTGGCTCCCCTGGCTAGGGAATGGAGATGAGCACCGCCCCCAAGAGTCAGATATGACTGAACTTTAATGTCATGGGGAAACCTTTACCTTTATTTTTAAAAAAGAACCCTAAGTATGCAGATTCAGTGCACTTCGTCCAACTGAAAGTTTTGAGCATGCCATCCAACAAATTTACCAAAATATACCTGTCCAAAACCACTAAATCAGTTGCTGTTTCAGCACTGCTCTTTAGAATGTTCTCCAGTTTCTGAATCTTCTCTTCTAACTCTGCTGGATCACATTTCCCGTTTAAAATAGAAGCCGTTAATCCCAAGATACGAGGGCATGATGTACAACTTTCACAAAGCTGAAAAATAAACCAGAGTGTTTCACTAGGCTATTAGTTTTATTCTTAAGCAGACATAGCACTCAGAGTCCTGAATCTCCTTTTCTAATATGGGAAAATTCCAGGGGGTGGGTGGGGGGGTGGGGGGAATTGATTTAATGGACTCCAGAAAAAAGTGTGTATCTAACTCATGCTTAATTGCTAGAAGTGGAACTAATGATCTAATAATACACTGACATTGATTGATTGATTGATTGTTCTAAGCAATACACTTGGATGTTACTGTATTGTAATGGCTTTGAGGCCCTGTAGATCAGGTGCTGTCTAACCCCTGATAAGAGAAATAATTCAACTTTATCACTCCAGTGCATACTTCAAAAGGAGCCCAATGCTCCTTATGCAGGAGCTCTACACAACCATGGATAGCCTCAGGCTCACTGATCTGTTCAGTGTAAAGGCTACTCAGTAAGTTCCTTGCAGGTTTTGACTGAACATTTGGCAATGAAATACCAGCACAATTTTTCTGCCAACTCACCCACTGGACATTTTCAAGGAAGCCTGCCAACATTTAATACAACATCCTAGATAGGAATTACAGAGCTGATGAGAGGTAAGGTGATCGGAGAAAACCTTTCTTAGCCACTGTTGCTTTTAGTGGCCATTGATAAAAGAGCACCTACTCACTGAAGATAGGGTAATTAAGTGCATACCTCAAATTAAGGGAATAATCTCAAATTTAGCCCTAAGAATGGATCAGAAGTAGATGCCAAGGTTAGAGAAATATTAATGCACAGTATACAGGGCACTAGTTTGCCTACTTATTATGGTTTGTTTTGCCTGTGGTCAAAGACATAACTTACCTTCATAATTTCACGATAGGGGTGATCCTGGATTGCAAGATGGCACTCATCAAAAATAAGAAGATTAATGTTTGACAGGGATAAGTGTTCATTTTTTAAAACATTCAAAGCAACACAACAGGTCATAACCAGCACCTAAAATATAAAGAGATGCAAGATAAAAATTAAAGTTATTTCTGTCCAAGCAAGTAAGAGTCTCTCATTTTGTCAGCAAGAATAATATAAGTATAATTAATTGCAACTAATAATAATGCTTCTCTCTATACAAATTCAAATTTAACCTGTCGTTTGAATCCCAGGCAGCCTTAAGGTGCAGTTTAACTCCATCCTAAGATCACTCAATATTATTATATAAATATCCAAATTCCAGCTCAAGCCTTTTCCGATCATCTTCAAAAATTCTATTTGAAGAGTGAAATGCAAGCATGCACTCTTGGCCTTGGCATCTCTTCAATGAAATGTTGGCATATTTGGCTGTAAGAGGTTATAGAGCTCCATGCAATCAGGTAACATTCCCAAATACAGAGAACCTGAACTATGTTCAGCAAAACACAGTTATATTTCCAGAGTAGACCTTCCCAATCAACACAGGAAGGCTGTAGCTAGATGGGGTAGGAATGGAGTACATATCCCACTCTCCTCCTGGAGAAGGATTTTTGAATACCTTAAGGGTCAGTTCTCAGAATTAAATCAGGCATTATACAAAACATGCAAGTGCTGCTGAAAACATTAGAAGCACATTTAGGTGCTTCTCCACCATTAGGTATAGTAGAAATTATCGTGTGTCAATGTCCAGATGCTCCACAGTCCTTACTGTCATCAGAGGCAGCCAAGGATGTGAAACAGAAGTAGGAAAAGACAAACTGTAATGATAATATGATTTCAGTTCTTTCAATTTTTTCAGGAAAAAGTTAAACCTGCATTTTCAATGTTTAGTGGCAGGAACACATTATTTTTGGCACTAAACATACTGAATACTACAGAGGTAGTCTTTCTCTGAATGTAATAGATTTTGAAAGCAGAAGAATAGAATATTCAGTAGTTGCAACTGCATTACTTCTAATTTCCATATACACTTTCTGGAAAAGTTAACCAACTGGAAGACATGGCAGGTATCAGCAAACAGATACAGAAGGGCATCCACAACTCAGTGCAATCCAGTGTTCTGACTGCTCTTCTCTATTTCTTCTTTAGCACAAACATGGGTAGAAAACTTGCAGAAAGCTTGCCAAGAAGCCCGGCAGAGACAGACTCCGCAGCCTCTTCTCCTCATTGCCACTAGCACACAGAAATCTGATCTGGGACAAGACAGGAGAACACACTGTGATTATCTCTCTGCAGTGATTTCAGCCCAGAGAGCTGACACTGTGACCCTCTACCCCATATCTTATTAATGATTCCTGCACAAGTCCACTGCAAGTTTTCCACCAACCGAAGTCACACACTGTCTTTTTATGCTTGGTATTTATCAAAGTAAATTTTCTGTAAAACATAAAATGAATGAGTTCAGCTCGACAAACTTATTAGTCATATAAGTCTATCATGTTGCACTAATAACATGCATCCTACAAAGAATTACAGGACTGGGGAACATGCCCAGTTAACATAAATTGGACTTGGCCTAATGCTGCCATTCCTCATTCCTTTCCCAGCCACACTCCTCTCTGCCCATATTTGACTTAAACAGGCTCAACAGAGCAGCTGTGATTCTCTCTTCATGCAACACTGTAATTCTTTCTTCATATACCTGACTCTTGTCACTCTACAGTGAACCATGGTAGGGGCTTTCCTTATAATGCATCTACACTGCAATTATATAAATATTCCTGAATAACTGGTAAAGTTGAATGAAAACTAATTCTGTGCCTGACTCCAGATACAGCAGTCGCATTGCACCATGTAGACACATGAACTATATATAGCTCTGTCTCCAAAGTGGTTACAGAAGCTATAAACTTTGGCAGGATATCCTCCAGGTACAAAGCAGGGCTATTCAAGCTGTTCTAACAGATATCAGAGCACTAAATTCCTTCATAAAAATAAATCATTCATTAAAACACCTGAATCACTTATATCCAGTTGTACATCTTTGACATTAAGCTGACAGAAGAGATAGCTGCACTATGGGTTTGGACTGGTCTAAGAGTAATTCTCTCTCCCCAGGCAACAATAGCTCTCTAAAGGGTTACATGAAAATATTCACTGGTTTTACCAAACGAAAATTTCCAAAACCCCACTCAGCAGTTTCATGTAGATGTTAAATAACATAGGAGGTTGAACAGACCCCTAAAGAATTCCATACCGAAGAAACCATGTGATGAAACAGTATTCTCAGAACATCACCTTTTGGAGTCAGCCCTCCAAGCAGAAGCAGAACTACTGCAATGAATTAACCCCACTCCTACCTCAGACAGTTGTCCCAGAAAGATACCATGACTGAGGTATCAAAAGATGCCAAAAGATCCAGAAATATCAGCAGGGTCACACTTGTCATCTCTGTCTTCACAGGTAAGGATGACCAAAGGTCTTTCTGTGCCAAAATCCAACCTGAACACCAGCTAAAATGATCTCACCTGGAACTAGTTAGTCACCACCTGCTCAGAAACCTTGCACAGGAAAGGAACGCTTGCTAACAGCCTAAAGTTATTAAAATTTTCCAAGTCAGAGAGAATTTCTTCAGAAGTTGTCTACCCACTGCTTCTCTCAGGAGGCATGGAACAACTCCATCTCATAATGAAGCAATGATCACCTCTCTGGCCCAACCAATTGTTCCTTCCTTGTTGAAACTGTAGACCAGGAGGGAAAAGATCCAGGGTCAAAGTAGTTAAATGATCATGTCTAAGCACCTTGTAATTTTCTCAAGCTGTACCAACTGAAGTCATCCAGTAAACCTGGACTGGGCTGTGCTAAGGCACCTAGTCTGATTCAACTGCTACAGTTCTGGTGTCTAACTCCCTGTGGATGAAAGACATTTAGCAGATATATTAAAGCCACATTCACACTGGTCTAGGATGCCCCTGGGATTGCAAAAAAGCATTTGGAGAAGCATATTGCTAAAAATATAAAGGCCAGCAATACATAATTCTTTAACTATATGAGAAGCAGGAAACCAGCTAGAGAGGCAGTTTGACTGTTGGATGGCAATGGAGTTAAAGGAGTTCTAAACAATGTAAGATGACTGCACAGAAGCTGAATAATTTTTATTCCATCTCTGTCTGCAAAAGATATAAGACAGACACCTTTTCTTGAACTGATATTTTCAAGAAGGGAATGTGAGAAATTGAGTGAAACAGTAGTGACAAATGAAATTCTTAGACTTGTTGACAAAGTGTGAGATCACATGTTACAACAATAAACCCTGCAAATAAGGTACACAGAGTGGGTTGTTCATGAAAGGCCATGGGTTGTCTCCCCACCCCACTTTTGTGGAATTCTGGTTCTTTTTTAAAAGGAGTTCTTTGACAGAGCTTGTATACAATTTCCCTTTGACAGGGAAATTGTATTCTTATAGCACAATCCTATACATGCCTATTAAGAAGCAAGTCTCACTCGGTTTACTAGTGGTTAATTCCAGGTTACTGGGTATAGCATTGGAACCCCGTTAATTTTGGTTCTGTAGCTGTGAGGGAAAAAAACAACCAAACAAGCCATTTTCAGGCTAAACAGTTTGCCAGAAAAACAAAAACAACCCCCTCCCCCCACATCTGAACAGGCAACAGCTCCTTTTCCTACAAACAATAGGACAATGGGACCGTGAGCAACAGCATCTGACACGTCTCAAAAAAGTGGCTGTACAAAAGCAAACCAAAGGATGAGACTGCACGTGTGTGCTTTACAAATCATGCTAGAAATCAGGAAATCTTAAAACTATGGCATCACTTTATAATTTATATGATTTAAAGGTTTACCTTACCTGGCATTTAGTAAATTCTTGGTGCCATCTCTCTTTTGTCCATGCTTCAGTTATTTCTAAACTTGAATACTCTCCAACCTTGAGATCTGAATGAGTCCTAACAGTTGACACTTGTTGAGCAACTTGATTTGCTTTGCAGAAGCAGATGAAACATAGGGACCAAAATTATTATTTTGAAACGGTTTCTTAAGTATACATACAATTTCAATGCTGTGCTGACTAGCTATATCACTGCTCAGTTATGTTAAGCTGTGGCAATGTAAGTAACACTATACAAACATATTTTATTTGAATCCTTCAGTACACTCTATAACTTCAATCCCATTTTCCCTAATACAACAAATGTTGAGAAAACATTTGAATGTTGACAAAATTCATGACACTGGTTACATTTTAGTTACTCTTTTCTTAAAAACGTTATTAAAACATTTTTGACTGCCTGTATCTCTGCTGATGCTAGTATCACCCACTAGTGGCATTATAGCATTAGAGGATTTTTCTGGCTGGACATCAGGAAAAGCTTCCTCACTGTCAGAGCACTACAACAGTGGAACCAGCTGCCCAGAGAGGTGGTGGGCTCTCTCACGCTAGAGACATTCAGAAAGAAACCAGACAGCCATCCGAGTGGGATGGTGTAAATTGGTGTCCTGCAACAGCAAGTGGTTGGACCCAATGGCCTTCATGGCCCTTCATGGCCCTTTCTATGCTTCTATCAGAGACCTATTGATTAATTTAACATCACATCTTACCAGAGTTGACCAAGAATACTGTTCTTTTCCCATTTTTGTTGAAATCTCCCCTGATCTGATAGGACAGTTCTTTAATGAGTAGTACTGCAATAAAAGTCTTCCCTGAGCCAGTGTTTAAACAGACTATTGTATTATGATCCAGAGCTGCTTCAAGCAGTTCAACCTGTATTAGAATATAAAAAGGTTTATTTTAAAAATACCTCTAAATTATATACAAAAAAGTTTTCAGATATATCAGTGGAATATGGCCAAATATGTTTGTGTTGCTCTGACATATTATCCAAGAAAAATCAATGAGTTATGAACCTAAAGCATTTTTGGAGGACTTAGAATTCTATTTAAAAAGCACATGGAACAGTGGCAGTTCACTAGTATGCCATCTAAAGTTTTCAATGGACAAGTCTATCTATGAGCAAGACAATGCAACATCCTAAGAGGCTTATTCTCAGAAGACCTATGCCATGTAACTGCTGTGTGGATGAGCTGCCAGGTGAAATTACAGAAAGATCAGAGAATAAGCGAAATGATCTGTCAAAATAATAATATTTGGGTTAGATACTTAATATTGAATCCTCTGTAGCAACTGAAGTCATCCAATTTTATTTTTTTTTTAAAGAAAAATCTTAATTTCCAAAAACCACTTTAAGAAGTAGAGCAATGTGCATTTCTCACAGCTTTATGTTTTATATTCTGGATCAAGCATTTCCCCTAGTACCTTAAACATTGAAACTAAGATCAATATGACATACAGTAAACATTTTCATTCATGTGTAAGTAGGAAGAGTGCTATCTCCATTTATTCTTCCTCCCCCTTTTTACTTTAGTCACAAACCATCCAGAGGAAGAGCTGGGAAGCCCCTGCACTTAGGAGTGGCAGAAGGGAAGGCATGTGGATGAGACTGTAGCAAAGGCAAAACTGAAAACCCAAGTATACACAAACATCTGTTTACACATCATGATAAGACAGGGTTCCCCTAGAACTCTTGCTTATCAAGTATGAGCAGCATGTTTATGCACACTGCTTAACTGTCCCTGCAGTTAAACAAACCAGGGATCTTCCATCTGCAGGTCTTGCAGAATGCACATAATTAAGTGACACAGATTACATCAGTAAGCCGAAGACATTGGTGCTAATGTCTTCTCTGCTTCTAGCAGTAGCAAATAGAAAGAAAGAAAGAATTAACAAGTACTCCAATAAAACTGCAAGTAATGCATGGGTGGACTTCGAGTCAGCCAAATTTCATTCAGCTTTAAAAATATCGGCACGTATTAGTACCTGATATTTTCTTGGTGTGTAAATGTTATCATGAATCGCTTCTTGTTGCCAAGGTAGTCCAAAAAAAGGACCCATTGGGGAGGAAGCAGGGGTCATGAGTTGTAGTCCTGCCATGCTGAGGGACTGCAAAGCAGGGTTATTCATTCATTCATCCAGTGTTTCTTTCATTGCATTTTTGTTCCAGCACAGCTTACTACGAAAAAGGGGAAAAAGCATTAAAATCATATATTAAACAACAGTTGGTTATTCATATATATACACAAAACAAGATCAAATCCTTTATATGTTATATTTATAAGTACTTTAATTACTCTAAGTGGAAATACTTAAAAAAGCCATGCAAGGTAGGGAAGTTCGCCTAAAAAGGATAGGGCATTCAGTCTGACAGCAGCCTGCCTATGGGCATTTGATGTGCAACTCTATACATGACTACTTTGAATTAGATCCCACTGAGTTCAATGCAACTTACTGCTCAGTAAGTATATAGAGGTTTGCAGCCTTAATGAGTCAGTAGGTGTGAGGATGAGATATAATCTAGCAATCTTCTAGGTAACTCACCTCTGCACGGTGTTAGCTCCCCACTTTGATAGGTTGTTTTCACAATTTACTATCCAATTTCAACTGTAGTTCACAGTTGTTCCCTATTTTAGTTATATCTTTATGCTCTTGTGCAGTATATGAAGCAGTATTTGAAAAGCCCTGTGTAGCATCAAGATGATTTCTATACCCCAAGCACTGAAAACAAAGCAAGTTTTGTAATGGGTAACATCACAGATGCACCCAGTATTCAGAAGAATTTCCTACAAGTACAGCAGTCTTCAGAGAATCTAACTGAAGAACATTTATTTATTTATTTGTTTATTTAAAACTCTTCTCTACCATCCCATCACAGATCTCTTGGGATGGTTTACAACAGATCAATACAATAAAATATAAATAGAAGTAAGAGTAACACTCTTTCCCTGTCTTTTCCCCTCAGTGTCCCATTGCAGGAACACAGGACTTGTGTGGGGGAACATATGTGAGCATACTTGCAATATTTAGTTAACCTGTCCTTGCTCTTTTTCAGCTGGAATATTCTTTCAACCTCCAAAATCACTTAGAAACTTTTTTCTGTTGTAAAGTTTTACTGAAAACTGATGGGGGATCCTCCCTTTCTCTTGCTCTTTAAAGGATGCCTTCTATAAGCAAAAAGTAACCATGAAGTAATTTTGAAAATTCATTTTAATGGAAAAGCAGATTATAATCCTCAAATAAAACAAGAACTACTACTAGAGGTGTTGGCTTTCATCTATTATCCTCCAACCCAATTCTTACCTTTGAGATTTCTCATCATACTTCCAATGAGGGCCTTAAATGCTGGAAAAGACAAAATGCTCTATGGAACTAACACTGGCTACCGGCAATGCCAATGGAATCACCACGGGGAAGGTGTAAAGTGATTCCTCAGCCATGATTAAGTACATGCCACACAAATTGGCCTGCTTCCAACTACTATAAAAGCAGAGTCCATGGTACTTCAATTCTCATACATTGTTTCTGGACCTTAACTTTTAGGAAGGGGATGATTAAGTCCAAAGGAAATGTGCTGCAGGTACCAAGTGGTAAGCCTCAGGTACAAAAAAAGGACATCTGGATTCTAGAATGCAGTGCACCACTAAAAACAAAGACTTCACCCACAATCCTATACAACTAACACCGTACTCAAAATATAGTTCCTATTGCTTAGCAAAGCATCATGGAAGTATTTGAGCATGTAAACCTATTCATATTTACATGAAAATAGCCCAAATGCATAGAAATCCACTGTAACAGATTACATGTTTACTTGAAACACTGTGGGGAAAATGTGTATGTAACCCCCAGTAACCTTCCCAGTACTGTTAACAGTCTGAATCCCAAACCCTTCAAACAAGTACAGGACACTTGAAAATCTCAGCTTAAGATTTTTCTTGTTTAATTTGCCCCTTAGTCTTTCAGAGTAAAATTGTTTTAACGGACAACTATTGATACTTAATTTTATCACTGCGTTAAAATGCAAAAGATTTGGAATATAAAGAGTCAACATTGTTGCATTCTACTGACCAACTGAATGCTATTTCAAACCCTCCACAGTTAATTTTAAATTACTAGCAATTTAAACTGTGTATGCCAAGGGAACTGTGCATGTCACTCCCCTTCCCTCACACCTGACTATCTGTTAAAACTTTGCCTTGTCCAGCCGTGGCTTCTGCACGATGCCTGGTCAGCCACTGCTGCATTACCTCAGCAGTTCCTCCTGGAAGCAGAGCAGCTTCAGAATCACTATGGAACATGAGCTACTGAATTGCTGCCTGGAGTCTGCCTGGCAATCAGCACCAGCAATGCTAATATTAATCAGGATGGAAGTGCAGTAAAAAAAAAAATTGGCTCAGCTCAAATTGTTGGCCTAGACTGGCCAAAGAAGAGCCCTTCTTACCAGAAGAACTTTAAGAGAACAAGTACGGGCAACATGGAGGTACCAAGGAGGCAGTGCAGGCACAGACTACCCACCTATGTTTCTTTCTTTGCAGAGGTCAGGCAAAGAGGAGGAGGAGCTTCTGCTGCCCCTTTACTATGCCTTGACCACCAGAACAGCAAAGAAGAGACCAACAAAAGGGGGAAAGCAAGAGACCTCTTCCAGATGATCCAAGAAATCCAAGGGATTCTCAAACTAGATTAGGAATGCTAAAAGACAAACAGGGGGACACTAACTGACCAGGAGAAAATAAAGAGAAGGTGGAAATAATATACAGACCAACTAGATGGAAGAGATGACAGACTCCTTCAAAGAGGTGTCAGACAAGGGTGTATTTTATCTCCCTATCTGTTCAAACTGTACAGCTGGATTAGAATCAGAGAAAGGAGTTAAAATTGGTGGAAGACAAATCAAAATTTAAGATATGCAGATAACACCATTCCACTGGCAGAAACAGCAATAAGTTGAAATAACTCCTGAAGAAAGTGAGAGAAGAAAGTGCAAAATCAGAACTGCAGCTGTACATTAAGAAAACAAAACTCACGACTACAGAAGAACTACAGAGCTTTACTGTGAAATGGTGGAAGATTTTACATTCCTCAGTTCTGTCATCAATTGTAAATAAGACTTTAGCCAAGGAAATCGAAGAAGGCCAAGACTTGGAAGGGCAGCAATGAAGGAACCAGAGAAGATCCTCAAGTGCAAGGAATTCCACTGGAGACCAAGGCCAGGCTTGTCCATCATGTAGGGATGTGAAGAACGCTGACAGGAAGGGCATTGCCGTGTTTGAAACATGATGCTGGAGGAGAGCTTTGCACATACCCTGGACCAACAGAAGGAGAAGCAGGCAGTCCTCGATCAAGTCATGCCAGAGCTTCACCTCGAAGCAAAAATGACAAAGCGCAGGCTGCCATGCTTTGGACATATCATGAGGAGGCAAGAGCCCCTGGAGAAGACCATCCTGCTGGGGAGAGATGCAGACAGAGGAAGAAGAAGGGGAAGACCAGCTGTGAGAGGCATGCACTTCGTCACGGAAGCCACGGCCTGGGATTTGCAAGAGCTCCCAGGGCTGTCATGGATGGGACATTTTGGAGGGTTACCAGAAGCTGGAGGGACTTCTTTTCTTTTTCTTTTCCTTTATAACTTTTCTTTTATAACTTCTTTTATATCGTTTATATTTTTTATCTATTTTATATTATTAACTTTAATTTTATATTGTTATTTTTGTATTGTATTGTATTGTATTGTGTTGTAAGCCGCCCCGAGGCTTTGGCAAGGGGCGGCATAGAAATGTTCTAATAATAATAATAATAACAACATGCAGGCATTGGCAGAAAGAACAAAGGACACCTAACCAAGAAGAGGGAAGTTGTTTCAGTGTCTGTTGCTAATTCTAGCAAGGGTGGCAAGAGGTACTGATTCTTTGCCTTTTCCAGGCACAAAGAGCCTAATGTCTCCCTCAAGGACGGGCTGCATATTTAATTCTGAAGCTGGAATACTGCTATGAGAAGCAATTGGTTGGAACTGCCAATGAATAGGAAGGAAGCATATTTGTTAACTTGTGCCAGCTGGCAATTGTAACAGGCAATAATGAACAAATGCAATCTGCACATGTTCAGAATCTTTGTGACTGGTGAAAGATTTGATTTGCATCCCAAATCCCTCCAAAAGGAAAAGGCAGGCAAAGATAGCCAAGAGGAATCATGGTAACTTTTTAAATTGAAAACTGGATGAAAAAGTAGCAACTCTACTGGGCAACCAAAGCCTGATTAACACTTTCAATGGTAGTCCAAGAGAGAGACAGTGGGTAAGCGATAACATACCAAAATAGAAACCTTAAACCAGCAACAGCCAGTTACAACAGTTTTCTATATATCTCTACTCAGAAGTAATTCTTATTGAGATTAATAGCTGACTAGCTTATTGAGATGGTTAGTGGGGAATCATCAGGATGGCAGCCAGTAACAAGCGGGGTCCCCCAGGGCTCTGTCCTAGGACCGATCCTGTTCAATGTTTTCATCAACAACATGGAAGAAGGGGTGACCAGTCCGCAGATCAAATTTGCAGATGATACTAAAAAGGGGCAGTGCCCACAACTGAGGAGCAGGTACTCCAGATCCAGAAGGATCTGGACAGACTCTGGAAGTGGGCAGAGAACAACAGGATGACATTCAAGGTCTTGCACTTGGGGCATAGGAATGGGCCTCATAAGTACAGGTTAGGGGACAAGTGGCTAGAGAGCAGCACTTGTGAAAGGGATCTCTGGGTGCTGGTTGACTGCAGACTAAACATGAGTCAGCAGTGTGACAAGAGGGTCAAGGGGCGAACACCACCCTTGGTTGCAAAGCTAGAAGCATGGCTTCTACATCGAGAGAGGTCTTACTACCACTTTATACAACTGTGGTGCACCCACAACTGGAGTACTGTGTTCAGTTCTGGGCTCCACATTACAGGAAGGATATAGCCAGGTTAGAGTCAGTGCAGCATAGGGCCACAAGGATGGTGGCCGGATTGCAGGGGAAGCCATATGAGGCAAGGCTGAGGAAACTGGGTCTTTTCAGCCTGGAGAAGAGGAGACTCTGAGGGGATCTGTTGGCAACATATAGGTACATGAGGGGAGTGTCACACAGAGGTGGGTAGAGACCTGTTCTCCCCTGTGGAGAAAAGCAGGACATGCCTTAACGGAGCCAAGCTCAGGGAACCAAGGTTCAATTTGGATGCCAAGAAGTACTTCCTGACAGTTATGACCTCTAGGGTATGGAATGGGCTTCCACAGGAGATGGTTGAGGCCCCATCGGTGAGGGTGTTCAAGGATATGCTAGACATGCACATAATAGGCATGTCATGAACGAAGCCGACTGGAACCGGGGGTCAGACTAGATGGTCCAGGAGAGCCCTTCTGACTCTCTCTGTTTCTATGTTTCTAATGTGAACCACTCTGAGAGCTTCAGCTATTTGGTGGAACAGAAATTAAAGAAATTTAGTTTCAGGTAAATGCATATAGGACTGCAACCTTAATAGAATTTCAATTTTGTGTAAGACAAGCACTGAAAGCAGGATAAATGTTGGTATCTTTAATACTAGTAAGGTTCTTCTTATGGGAGAACAAACTTTGCTTCATAAATATATATTAAATCCAATTATTTAAAAATTATTAAATTATTACCCTGTTTAATGAACTGATTCCTATCACGTCATTATTTTTTTCTCTAAGTCAGATTAGCTAATGATACTGAGATAGGTAACTTGTTGAACATCCTAGGTGAACATCCTTGAGGTTTTTCATTTCCTTTAGAATGTGACTTGGCTCACTTGCTGAAGTCAGCTGCAACTATTTGTTCTACCACCATCTTCGGCACAGTATGTCTTGTTCTGTTTCTCTTTCTGAGGTATGCTACACTACTTTGGTTGAATTCTAAAGCTGCAAAACTATACAGGCTTATATGGGAGTAAATCAACATAAGTGAATAACACATGAAGCACCTTGATTTGGGACAGCTAGTAACTTTTGGGATCCACACTGTCTTATACTGGGAGAAGAGATCAGAAAGGTTGACTTCAGAGAATCTAATCCCTGCGTTAAGAATTGTACCACCACCAGAAACTAATTTATTTCACTTGTCAAGCAGATGCATAGAAGAGCTGGTCGCTGTCTTGTCCTAAATTAGCTGTGTTGCAGCTTTTACAAAAGGAAAGGAGTATTTGTGTGTATAGAAAAGTGGGAAGTTTCAAACATGTGCTGCATGCAAGTTTTCCTAAGAACAGAGTTCTGACTGTATGGGATGTTTAATTTTGTTCAGAATTGTGAGACTTGGTTATTAGATACGTTAAAACTTATGGGAATCCATTTACATTAGTGCTGTCATGTAAAATGTATCTGGGGTATCGATGCTGTCTCTGTAAAATGTATCTGGAATACGGATGCTGTCGTGAACTGCCCAGAGAATTTTGGCTGTTGGTCAGTATAGAAATTGAATAATATTTATACAATATTATTCAATTCAATGAGTTCTTTTGCATTTGTCTTTATGCAGACATGCGTGTGCACATATAGCAGGACCCCTATATCTGTTGTCCATTATTGTGGTTTTACTCAACTGAAACTGACTGTCAGCCCTCCACATTCTCAGGAATTAGTGATACAGGACTCCCACAAATGTGGAAAAACCATGGGTATCTCTAGGGAACTATGCACTCTGTTTGGGGATGCATGATCTTTGCTTGGTAGTAGCCAGCCTCATTTATGTGTTTTGTTTCTCCATGGGCACAGGGACTCTAGAGATATTTGTGGTTTTTCCACTTTTGCAGAGGTCCTGTGCCTCTAACACCCATGAATATAATGTTCACTACTATCTGCAGTTTCAGCCATCTTTTGGGCAGCTTGGAACCTATCCCCCACAGATATGGGAGTCCTCCTTTATATGCACACATCTTTGCTGTGGGCAGATTCTATTCTTAATACAAAGCCTTTCCAACATATGTAGCAGTAATTTACGAGGATGCCAACAATGATGACAATTGTGATAGAATACACTCTGACATCAATAATTTGCTTGTCTACATGGTCTACATGCTTTTAACTGATGGGATATATAAAGCAATCCATTGTGAGTCTACTCAGAAATACGTCTCACTGAATTCAATGGGACTTACTCCCATGAAAGCATGCACATGGCTGTAAAATATGGTTTCCCCCCTCCCCTTTCAATGCTGGAGAAGCAAGCTCTGCTAGCAATTGCTTTCTCTGTGTTATTCTGAATTAATGGAGATGAGGGGAGGCTGAACTTCTTGTAAATTTGAACCTGTTTTGGCATTCATTTTCCTTGCCTTAACTAAAGAATCACATTGAGGAATCCATTTTGTTCTACTGTGCAAAGCATCTCAACTACTATGAGAGTGTGATTTTAAACATCTGTCATTTTGGTAGTGCAAATCAATGTCTGAGAAGACAATTCCCTGTCTAAATTCCTCCTGTTTAATACTTGCAGAGACACACTTTTAAAGTAAAGTACCTTGTGATTATTACAGTCTTTGATTCTGGCTGACTGCTGCCTTACTTTGCTTATGTGTGAAACGGGTTTTTCCCTCTTTTCCTCTTTGCTTTCAGAGAGTGTGTGTGTGTGTGTGTGTGTGTGGAAGGAGGCAGTTTGCTGGGTTGAACCATATTGCAAAAGGCTTGTATAGCAAATCTCCTGAGACAAAAGAGGTATTTTCAGTTCTGCCTCCAGTTACTCTTCTTCCATCCACCCACCCACCCAGATAGACTGGCTATGAGCCTTCACTGATAAATACCAAACAATTCCAATCAAGGTAGAATTTTTGCAGCTCTTGATTAAGTTGATACACAAATACCATCAAATTCTTTATTTTTACTGTTTAGTAACAATTAATGACCTGTAATATAATCTATATTTGTGTTTCAAAGAAATGACTTTTAGAAATGCCTGTATTAAGAGTAATATTCAAACAGATATGAATTTCAGTTTGTTAGCTGTCAAGACTTACGGCATTAATTTCTGTGTCATCTGTCTATGTGTTCTCTGAATTGCTTTTTGACACCATTATATCCACTTGTAGGGCAATTACATCACTGCCAAGCTTCTGCTCAAACAATGGGAGAATGAGTTAGAAAGAATGAGCTAAAATAATGTTAAAATCTTTAAGAGTAAGAGTTTCCACTGCAACATAGTCAAAAATTTAAAGAAAAATCTTATGTTCCATTCTAACTAGAAGAGTTTACTGTATTACTATGATTGGTACATATATAAAATGTTAGCTACGTTATTGTATTTGATGGAAAATGTCATTTTAAAGAATAAAGGACAGAAGGTTTGGTTACCTGCATCTTTCGATGAACAAAACCTTCCCTGAAATAACAGTATGCAAGAAAGCCCTGACAAGGGGCAGGGGGCAGACAGAACTAGGAAACCCCTGTAGGAAGAGAATGCAGCAGGAACCTATACTGGCCCTATTTTACTTCTCTCAAATCTTTCAAAAACTGCAGTGAAGAAAATTTAAAAAGTGAATATCTTAAGCTTGAAAGCAAGAAGAATTAAAATTCTAAAATTCATGTGTTCTTTCATAAAAATGAACCATCTTGTTACAAAACTCTTTCTAATCCACACTGAGGATATCATCAGACAGAATACTATAGAATTAAAAAATACATTCCATTTTTAAATTCACAGATACAAAATGTATTATTTTTAAAACTGTTGAACTTGGGCAATATACAGTAGTCTAATATATTGTATTTATAGCCACACAAATGTTTCGTGGTGCAGAGTAGTCACAAAAGGTAATTTTTTTCTCCTAGAAAAAACTCATTCTTTGATACAGAGAACGTAAGTCTATACCTGTCACTAGGCAAAGCACTTTCCAAGAGAGGGGATGGTGCTGGAACTTTTACTGAAGCCTTCTTCAGGATGCGTGTAACAGCTACTATATCCCTATTCACTGGTAAGCATTGCTTGCAGATAACACAGGTAACATCCAGGTATCAAGGAGAAGGGCTAGCAGACATATTCCTCCTTTCCACCATATATGCCATCAACATGTAAATAGCCTTTTAAAATATGGCAACTTCCGTTGCAGTGCAATTTAAACTAGTTGCAGGGAAAATGGGAGGGAGTGCACCGAATATTAGCTCCTTCAAGTAACAAACCATTTTCTACTGCAAGGGAGGTCAATGTTTTCTCCCCTGGTCATGTTTGCCTACTTCACAAGGGTCATATTTCTCATGAAAATCAAGAAACTAGCTGTAATTCACTTTGATCCTAAGAGCCATGAGCTGTGTTTCACTCATAGCATGTAGTATTCCTGCCCCTCCCCTACCCATGCAGTTAGAAAAGAGAACTGGAATAAAAAGCATTACCCCCATTGCTTATGTGAGCCAAAGACCCACATAAGCAATGGGGCCACTTGCAGTATACATCAACCAAGTCTAAGTGTATTGTGTTACACGTAATTTTTAAGGATATGATCAAAAAGGGAGACGTTTTAAAATAAAATGACAACTAAAAAGCTATAAAGTTATTCTTCACTACTTCGTTAAAAAAGCAAATAATTAATCTTAAGCATCATCTCAGAAGTCTTTTGATACACAAAATAGCAAAGATGATGTAATTATCCTACATGTTAACTAACAATGTCTAAAGGCACAGATTTATTTAAAGTTTTTATAAACCATTCTTTAGTATATATTCTCAGAATGGTGTTGTATCAAGTTACTCAAGCAGCAAAGATGCCAGCTTTTCTAGAAGACATATAGAATCATTTCCCTAACAGCTGAATTATATTTTAAAACAATAACCTTTCTATCAGCAAAACTTAAATATTACAAATGTACATGTACAAGCTAAATATTTAATAGCCAAAACACATAGGCCACATTTCATCAAATTAATGAGCATTTCCAACTCTTAATAAACCATTCAGGAAAATCACAGTATTCTTATAATAAAACGTTATAGAAGAATTAAAAGGAAACCATCTTAATGAAAACTTCTACCCAAACAATATTAAAAGTTAACTGAGAACCCACACCTTGGCATTATATCAGAGCATTTTTTTCTACCTTGATTCCAGATATTGAGCTTTTCCAGAGTTTCAAGCCTGTAATTTTGTTTCAACCTAGATGTCCTAGAAGGCAATGTAAAGACACATTTCAACATAAACAGTAATAAAACCTAACAATGCATGTGGTAGTCTACTTTCTTGCATTTAATGCTGGACACTGGAATAAAAGCATATTACCCTTCAAAATCTAATTTTACATGAGGGGTTTGGTTTTTTGTTTTTTTGGCCAAGAATGCAGATAATGACTGTCTGAAAGATCAATTTAAGTGCTTGAACATACCTTCACATTTTTACTTTATTTATCTGCTAAACTATTTCCCAATATCAATTAGTTTTACAGCTGATTCAACATCACTGTTTCTTTAACTAGGAAAATTAGATCTTAAAGAAACTTAATATTCACTGTGCTATACAGTAGTGACATCTGTGCATTTACTTGTAACCACAACTTTGTTCTATTATAGTTATACACAAAGTACATTAGAACAGAGAGCCAGTACTTTTTTTTGGCAACTGTGCTAAAAAGACAGCATACTGGTAAGACACCTTTTCCATTTTTCTCTATTGTCTGTAAGAATAGTGCAAAAAATCTAAGAACATTTCTGATGTTAACATTTCATGTTAACAGGCTTTTGGTTTTGTTTTTATGAACAATATTCAATACTATTACAGCACTAGTACTATTGATAATCTATTAGCATAAACCAATACTAGTACAGTATCATTAGTACTTGATAGGAAAAGGGGAAGCGGAGTGATTTACCACTAAATTTCATCGCTTCGTACTAGTGCCATGATAGCAATGGCCAAAGTATGAAGCCAATTTCAAAACATGAAATTAGGTTTTGTAAAGCACACTTGGACAGTATAGTCTAGCCTTCTTCAACCTGGTCATGCTGGCTGGAGATGATGGAAGTTGGACATGAAAATATTAGAAGGGTTTTATGTTGAGGAAGGAAGGTTTATTTCAAAAATAAACAAAATGCAAGTCAAAGTTCAACTCGCCACAAATGAAGAATATTTTGTGCAACTGCCAAATGCTTTTTTAGTATGTTCATGGAACCACCTGAGACAGAGTACCCACTGAATGCCACCTCAATACTGATTATTATTCTAGCAAAAAGGGAATAAAGGTATAGCATAAGGTGTGAACAGGATGGCATCAGATATTGTCTTTATTATTAGAGAGACACATTTTGAACTGATTATGCCATAATGCAAGCAAACAGAAGAAACCGTATTTTGGTATTTTTGACATGGGGAAGGGGGAGTTTACACAAAATGACAGGAACTGATGGCTAGACCAGAGATAACCAAGGCAAGCCAAAACATATTAGTCCAACTGCGGATTTGCCCAACTTCTGTAATAAGGTTATGCCAGCAAACATGTTACCAACCCCTCTTCCATTTTTGGATAGACATACACATTGTATAGTCACATGAAATGAGGCAGATAATGCTTTTGAAAAATTAAGGGCACTTATTGACTTCTGTATTCCACTTGCAAAACACACAACTTGTTGCAAATAACTTCTCACTTTTTAGAGGAACAACTGCCTTCCCTCTAGTACAATTTCACTGTATGGAAGCAGTTGTAGTCTACAGTGGGTCAGAAGACAGATCTGTTTGCTATCTATCTATTTACTGAATTTTGAACAAAGAAATCCCTCTGGTCTTTCTTACTGCGCCTATCTTGGCACCTTCAGCATTATAGGAATTACAACAGTTGGCAAAATAATCTGGGGGAAAATACAGACTGTTGGTTCCCCCAACAAATCAACAGACATGCTACTTTATTTTGACCATTTGTTTTATTTTTGCTGAAGCAAAAATGGAAGAACAGGAGTGTAACTGACAGGAATGAAACTGCAGACTGCTATCTTCAGTGCAGCAAGACCCATTCTTTTCCTAAACTAACATATTGCTAGACAAGCTTCATACCAAAGACTGAGCCAAGTTTTAGTACAGAACTGCAAGTTTACATCCTATTAGCATGTCAATAGTTTGTCTCTTCTAGACAAAACGCCTGTTGCAGCAGTCAACCTGCCTGCTGTCTGATGGCCAAAGGCATACACAATTTGCTTGCAAGTAGGGTCTCACAGTAGCAACAATCTATCCCAATCAATCACCAGTCAGTTAACATCATATACACTGGAAATCTAATTTAGTATAAGAGATACTAACTGTGGTACAAAGCATGTTCATGTTCTTTTTCTATACAGCTCTTCATGATAGGAACGTTCAAAATGAAAGATTATTTGATGTATTACAAGGAATATATCTCACTTAAAAGTATTCTTGATTTTGTAGCTACTCATTTAATTCTAGTTTGCTGTCCAATCAACTTGTCTAGAAATACTACAGAAATAAAATGCTACATATTACTTTTTGGATTATTTCCAGGCAGCCCTGCTCCTTTCAAATATAGGTGTTTATAGATTTGGTATTTCCTTAAAGCAACCTTACTATTACTGCTAAATATATTGAAATAAATAAATTGAATTTTAAGATTTAGTTTAGGCTTCAAAGACAATGAATTCTATGCAAATCAAAAGTTTCTTTTGAAATACACCTGATTTTATAAGATGCATTAATACAACACAATAACAGCACTGTTGTGAGCATTTTAAAGCAAATCCAGCAGATCCGCTGTTCAAAATAAACTAATAAAAATTAACAAGATTTTACCCAGCCTTAAAATTAATCATTTAAGTAAAACAAATGATAAACATTGAGACTTATCTTACAATCAGATCTGCACAGTCAATTGCTTAAATGTAAGCTTCCTTCTGCCACAAGCTAGAAGCTAGTGGTAGGTTTGAAGTGTTTTCAGAGCCTCTATAATTTTTACCTCATGGAATGTTAGCAGCAGCTGTTATGGGCTAGTGTGGGGGCTCCATCACAGGATTTGCATATATGTAAATCATATACTTCTCCTTTCTACATGCTTAGAGGTGGCAAAATGCCAACATAATCAAAGGAATTGTACTGATTTTTGTATTCTATCCTTGCAAGGCTCTTGCTTTGAAATCCTGTGGCTAAGGACAAGCTGTGCCATATGTATAGCCAATAATGCTTTTTTAAATATACCCTTTCAACTTAGAGAAGTATCAACCCAAGATAATTTTCTTAAATGCATGCTTTCAAAATGTCATTTTAAATAAATTAAACTTGTTGCATATTTGGGCCTTGGTATTTGCATTGTCTTTTCTCCACAGAACATAATACCCTGCCCCCATCAACTCACATTGGAAAGTTTCCAGAAAAACCACCCAGAGGTCAAGCCAGTGGCTGCTGATGGAGGTTTCCTGCTCAAACTAACAACCTTGTGTGAGCAACTTCAGGGGCTTGTGCCTGCACATTCCCCTCTGGGGAATCCCTTCGCCAACTGATGCAGGCAACTCCCAACATTCTAGTAACTGCATCATTTAGGAAACCATGTGAACTTATTTGTATACTGTCCTCTAATTCCTGAGGAACAATATTCCTTGTAGAGGCCTAGAGTGAAATAAAGGCCATGGACTCCATCAATACAGCAATTAATCAATCTCCAAGTCACCCAACTTTATGAAATGCTTAGCTTTTCACATCTTGTAAAAGTCCTGTCTTAATTTTCAGAGGGTAGCTATGTTAACTCTTCTGTAGAAAAATCAACCAAGAGTCCTGTGGCATGTGTTTTTATAAACTATAGCCACTTCATAGATCCATGGAATATTAACAAAGAATATCAGACTTACACACTCATGGGTGGAGGGGGAATAGGTTCATATATCCTGATAAACCATGATTCCTGCATCTTAACCTTTTGTCTATGATTCTTCTAGCTGCTGCTCCTCCCATATGGGAAAAGAGGAGACAGATTTGTAATGAGTGAAAGAAATTTAATGGAAAATGTACTTTTCTGTACTTTCTGCATGTAATTTCCTTGTAACCTCACTGTTTACAAGTCTTCCTTCACCATCATATGTACTGTAACTCCAAACTCTCCCTTATAGTCCATGTATCCATTAAGTGGGCTACAGTTCATGAAAGCTTATGCCAGAAAAAACTTCTCTGTGACACATTAATTTTGTCTTGAGAGGGAGGTCCTTCCCCATTCCTGCACAGAACCAGGAACTGAGGGCTACATTGGAACTTCAGACAGCTATCCACTAAGATAGATAGTGACAATCAAATTCTGAAAGTCCACCCCATTAACTGGCATGGTAGCTGGATTTTCAAGACTCTGTTCAAAGGAAATGGCACCAATGTTGAAAATAAAATGGGTGTCCCTCCTGACTGCTGACTTACAACTTTCAACAGTTTTTCTAAACTGTATCTCTTTTGCTACTACTCAACTCATTGCCAGGAAATATGCCACATTCAAGTATTTGATGCAACACTCAAATTAGAATCTTACCTAACAAAACAAGCAAGTTAGACATTTTTTAAATAAAATCTTTTTGAAACATTATTGGTGTGCAAAACCTGATTCTTTTTGAGCAACAGAACTTAAACTGTTAAAGGCAATCAAAGTATGTGACAGAAATTGTTATTACTGGAACCTTACAGTACTTTTCATGTAACACACCAATAAATTATGTAGACCTAAGCAGACTGTCTGAATATACTAACTGGACACATGAAAACTTTGTGCACAAGGAAAATGGTTGCTCTGCACATGGAAGTCAGTTTCTATATATACAAGAAGTATCTGAACTGCTCCCTAGTTAGGAACCAATTAATTTCCTTGGGCTTATTTGAAGGAAATGAACTTTCAACTTCGTTTCTGCATGTTTATACTACATGGAAGCTTTGCACATTTTCAAGGTATTAGATGTATCATACAGAAAAGAACATATGTGGAAAGGCAAATATTGACATGCATGGTGATGTTCTTCTGAAATTTAATTTTGAAATCTTGTTACAACGGAA